CAGAGTGGTGGGGGAGCTGAGGACACTCCTTAGGCTTCAGATGGTCTGTGTGGTTTCTGTCCTCAGAAAAAAGGTGTCACAGAGTCATAGGATGGTTTGGATTGGGAGGAACTTTAAAGGACATCTTGTTCCAAGCCTTCTGGGCAGGGACACCTCCCCCTGGACCAGGTTATCTCCTGGCAAAACCACCACCAGCACAATCCCCTCAGAGAAGGAAACTTCATTTGTTAAAGGAAAACATCTCATTCTGTTTCTACAGCTTCTCCACTCCTCAAATCCACACGAGTCTTTCTGCAGACATGAAGGCCTGCAGGCTACACCAGGCTGGCCAAACAGTGACAGCAGCCCAAGCAGCACTCATCACCCCTTCAGCAGCAGCTGGCTCTGGCAGAGCTCCCTTTGCTGTGTGCAGGACATGCAGCTCTAACTGAAATGAGGGAACCAGGGCAGTGCAGGCTCAGCCCCTTGCCCTGGACAGTGTCATGAGTGGAGCTAAAGCCTCAACTGCCTGTGACTCCAGGTACAGCACAATCCCACCAGTCACCAGCAGAGTCAGTAATGAAAACAGAGAGCCCTGACACCCAGTTCATTGTAGATAACAAAAGACTGTTCCCAAAAGGTCAGAATCCTTGACTTCATCTTACACAGGAGAAAGTGAGGCACAGAACTGTGACATGACCTCTCAGGGCTGAGGACTGAGAGCTGGTCTCAGTTCAGCACTCTGTCTAAGGCCAGCACTGGCTCCATCAGACAGACTTGAGAGCTTTAATCCCCATCACACACATCTTCTGCACCTGCAGAACTTTTCCTCCCCACCCCCACCTCTTTGGTGACATGCTGTCCCATTCTCACTCACAGTCCTCCAGCCAAAACATTCCTTTCCTAGCATGGATGAGCTCTGCAGCACACCAGAGGGTTCGCTCCTTGTCCCCTAGGAAAAGGCAGCTCTTCTCCATGGAGAAAAGGAAGTGGAGAGGAAGAGGCCTGAAGGTGAATCCCCCCTTTCTGAAAGAATCAAGACCTGTGGAAGGATAGAATTCTTCAGTCCCAGCGGGTTTGGGATGGCACCGCAGGGACTGATGAAGAGGGGTGCTGCCAAATGCTCCCCAAAAAGCAGGGCACGTGTGGTGCTCCAGGAGCTGGTCCTGAGAGCGGCTCGGAGATGCCCACGGGTGTCACCACAGCCAGATCGTGTCCCTTTGTTACCGCACGAACTCTTTTCCTGGTCCATTCCACCATCTAGTGGAGATCTCTGAGAAGACAGAGTGCAGCAGCGCAAGAGCTGCCACAGGACACAAAACCACAGGACAACTAAAAATGGAAACCACCTTCAAGGTCATCAAGTGCAACCTCTGCCTGAGTCCCACCCTCTTCACAAACCACATCATGTAGTGGCACGGTTACTCATTTTTTGAACACTTCCAGGGGATTGTGTCTCCAGTACCGCCCTAGGCATCCTGTGCCAATGCTAACCATTCTTTCAGTAATAAATTTTCCTTAAAATCCAACCTGAACCTCCTGTGGCACAACTTGAGGCCCTTTCCCCTTGTTCTGTCACTCATCCCCCAGCTGCTCCTCATCAGATTTGTGCTCCAGAGCACTGTACATGTAGTAACAGCTCTTGCTCCTACATAATTTTGTATCTTATTCAAGATCCTTTGGTTGCTCAGTGTAACAGATGTGTTTACTTTGCACTTAGATGAAAACTTGATCAAGTTCAGAGCACAAGTGTAGACCAGTAAAACGATTTGAACATTTTACACAAACCCTGATTAATCCTGCAAATGGAGACCTCAAGGAACTGTACAGAAGGGCTCACAGGGAGCATCCTGCTGTGTGGAAGTGGGGCTGGACAGTGCTTGACACTTGCCAGTGAACCCACATCACCCCTGTGAAGTTTATATTAATCACGAGGTGAAACCGGTGATCAGCACACAGTGGAAACCAAACACAGAACGGCTTCTCCAGTATGTTCCAAGGCCTGACTGGCACTGGGTCCAACTGGGAGTTGGTTAGGAGAACTAAAAATGGGGATTTTTTCAGCCACCTTTACAGAAGGAAGTCCAGCATCCTACCTCAGATAGTACACACCTGCATTGCTAAGAAAGAACTTCCACCCCAAACCACTGAAGAAGCCTTTCAGAGGACATTTGGGTCACAGCAGGAACTATTTCATTACCACTTCAGCAGTCACAGAGGGTAAATATGGAGTAGGACAGCTGACAATCACCCTCATGGCTTGTTTTTTAACTGTCTGCAATATTCTGTACTTAAAAATCAGCCAAGATGCTTTTCACAGGCAGTCAGAGACAGAAATGCCCAGGACACTTCAGCAGCACATGAGTTGCTCTGCCTGGGGGTGTTCAAGACCAGGATGGACAGAGCTTGGATCAACATGGGGTAGTGGAAGGTGTCCCTGCCCATGGCAGGGGTGGAACAAGAGGGCCTTTAAGGTCCAAACCATTCTGGGATTCTGTGATTCCAAGTGTCCTGTCTGTCCTTGGTGATACCAGATTTCTGCAAAGGCCTTTGCTGCTGACAAAGGATGGGGTCAGGGTGGATGGGGATGGTGGCAGGGATGTCCTCACCCACACTGCTGCCACCTGGGGCATGTGCAGGGCATTTGGAGTAGGCATCAGTCAGAAGAACATGAGCTGACACCCACTGAATATGAGTGAGACAACTGCTAAATGTACATCTCAGACAGCTGTGGTGATAAGCAGCACGGGTAACAATAAAGACAAAGTGTTTTTTCTGCAGTGCTGCCCAGTGGTGGGGTGGCAGCCATCCCACACTGCAGCTCCCCCAGGGCTCTGCAAGCTCCTGGATATTCTGTCAGGAACACAGGAACACTCCCGTGCAGGGCCAACTTTAGCCACTTCTTTCACCCGTCACAGAGAAAAGAGTCACTGCCTGAAAATGATATTGCAGTCTCAAAATCTTGTTGCCACAGGTCATCCTGCCACCTTCAGGAGGAGGCTGTGAATGACCTGACTCGAATAACTGCATGTATATATCATACATATTGTATAATTTATCATTATCACTGTCATTAATACTATATACATAACACCACAATAACCCTTTCCCTGTACAAGCAGGGCCCTAAACTGCAAGGAAGTTCAAGTGAGTGTTGGAGGATTCCAGTCTATTCTCTGCCACCTTCAGGAGGGACCATGTAAGAGGAGGCTGTGAATGTCCTGACTGGAATAACTGCATGTATATATCATGAGATGATATAATTTATTATTATCTCTGTCATTAATACTATATACATAACATCACAATAACCCTTTCCCTGTACAAATAGAGCCCTAAACTGCAAGGAAGTTCAAGTGAGTGTTGGAGGATTCCAGTCTATTCACTCCTTGCATAATCCCAGTAATACATTAACATTCCCCAGAGCTATGCCAGTCCTCCCAGCAATGTTTTCCAGTTAAATTGTTTTGTTGTGAATCAAATCCTGTTAAATAAACAGAGCAGATCCATTTCATCTCATTTCACATTTCTGAAAGGAAAATATTCAGTCTGTGTTTTGCTGAGAGCTGAGAGCAAGGCACTGTGAGGGCAAAATTAAGGGTAAAACACACATACCCACATACACTGTCACCCACTTCTTCAAAAAGCTGATGTAATTTTGCATAACTTGAGATATTTGTGATCTGACTTTTCTGGGTCACTGTTATTCCACACCATTTAATGTTCACAATAGCTCCCACTGAGTGCAGTTCTCTCCTGAGCACCACGGGATGTCCAACCCCTGGGGCCTTTAATGAGGCACTGAGAAAAGGATTTGTGTGTGCTGAAGTTAATGCTCACATCGAGGTTACACACATCTCCACGAGAATGGACTTCCCTTCAGCTACAAGACACTTGTCTGGTCGCTGAAGTGTAGTGTCCTGTGCCCCACTCATGAAATGGGAAATGTGGGATGTCTAAAGGCAGTCCTGGGAGAGCTCAGCCTCTCTGTGGCTTATCAGGATGTGCCACCAGGCAGTGACAGCGGCAGCCCGAGCACACACAGCCCTTGCCTGCTGTCACCCATCTCGCTGCCACCAGACCCATGGCCACCATTCTGCAGAAAAGGTGTTGGAAATTATTATTATTTTTTTTTTTTTAATTTCTCACTTAGGAACTACTCGTAGGACAGAATACAAGAAGGGTACTTTGTGGAGGAGCAAATCAGCATGGCTAGGTAATTCTGAAAGAAAATGCTGTGCAGGGTCACCTGTGCCAGCAGCGAGGGGACAGCCCCAGCCCACGGGAAGGCAGAGACACCTCTGCCCACAGAGCTGTCAGCACCCAGGGGACATGTCTATGGGCAAATGTGCTGGCAGGACACACCGACAGCGGGAAATGAGACCAGCAGTGACAGAATCGACCTCAGGCACAGCTGAGGGAGCTGGGAAGGGGCTCAGCCTGGAGAAAAGGAGGCTCAGGGGGGACCTTGTGGCTCTGCACAGCTCCTGCCAGGAGGGGACAGCCGGGGGGGTCGGGCTGTGCTCCAGGGAACAGGGACAGGAGGAGAGGGAACGGCCTCAGGCTGGGCAGGGCAGTTCAGGGTGGATATTGGGAATTTCTTCACTGAAAGATTGTCCTGGCCTAGACTGCTCAGGGCAGCGGTGGAGGCCCCATCCCTGGAAGTGTTCAAGGAAGGTGTGGATGTGGCACTTGGGGACATGATGAGCTCATAGGCTGGACGGGATGACCGTAAAGGGCTTTTCCACCCCAACTCATTCCGCGATCCCACGACCGCTCCCGCCTCCATGAGGCGCTGAGGGGAGGGGGCGGGGCAGAGGGCGGGGCTCTCCCGGCTCCGGCCACGCCCCCATGCTTTGGGCCCGCCCCGCGCAGGCGCAGAGGCGCAGCTGGGCCTCATGCGGTTCCCAGCCGAGCCGGCCGGCAGCGGCGCCGCGCGCGCTCCGCACCTCCCGCCCGCTGCAGCGGCCCGCGGGTCGCCGTCGGGAATGTCGGCGCCCCGGGCGCGTTCCGCTCGCGGAGCCCGCGCTGAGGCGGTGCCGGTGTCTGTGGCGTCCAGGCGCGGGGCAGATGAAGTACATCCTGGTCACGGGCGGCGTGATCTCCGGCATCGGCAAGGGCATCATCGCCAGCAGCATCGGCACCATCCTCAAGTCCTGCGGGCTGCATGTCACCTCCATCAAGATCGACCCTTACATCAACATCGACGCCGGCACCTTCTCCCCGTACGAGCACGGTGAGCGCCCCGCGGGCGGGCTCGGGGCCGGGCTGCCTTGGCTTGCCGTGAATCGTCTCCTTTGTAGAGGCTTTGTGCCGGGCCTGAGCCTGCCAGCCCTGCAGTGCCCTCAGCGCAGGTGTGCTCCGCCTGGTCCTGCTGCTGCCTTAGGGGCTCGGTCCCCGTGCGCTGCTCCTCTCCTGATAAAGGCTTTTAGTTCTGTTCGCCACTCCTGAACATGCTGTGGCAGTCAGGGAAGGAGTTTTCCTTATGCGGAATTCTTCCGCATGCCCGACACGTGCGCCTGTGCCTGTTTGTGTGCCCGCAGGGGAGGTGTTTGTGCTGGATGATGGAGGGGAAGTGGACCTGGACCTCGGGAACTACGAGCGCTTCCTCGATATCCGACTCACCAAAGACAACAACCTGACCACGGGGAAGATCTACCAGTATGTCATTAACAAGGAGAGGAAGGGAGATTATCTTGGCAAAACGGTCCAAGGTGATGCAAAACTTCTTTCCTGGATATTGGGAATTCCTTCACTGAAAGATTGTCCTGGCCTAGGCTGCTAGAAGTGAATTCTGTATTTCAGTCTTGGCTGGATGCTTTTGCCTTTCATCTTTGCTTGAGCCTCTGCACCATCCTGCTTGTGTTTGGACTGTGCTGGACTTGGGTCCAGTTGTCTAATCTGTCTAATGTACCCAGTGAACAGAGTTCAGACAAATATGCTTTGGAATTGTTAGTTAGCAGATTAAATTGGTAAATGCTTTTGGTAACTCATGCCATTAGAAAATGCAAAGGATTTGTGAGTATCTGATCAGTCCCTTCCCTTTTTAACTACTCTCCACAGCTGGTTGACATTAGGACTTTTACAGACAGTTAAAAACAGAGTAACTTTCTCTATTTAGAGCAAAGAACAGTTTGTGCTTGAATCTTTCAGCTTAACGGAAATGTTGCTTACATGTGTTTAAATTAAGGCAGGGTTCAATTTCCTGCCAAGGCCCTTGAAAATAACAGCCAAGAATAATCACTTCAAAATGCATGGTTCTTTAAAGACAAAATATCCTGCTCAAGCCCTATGGGAAGCACTGGCTAGTGATTGTCAATAATTTGCTCTCTAATAAGTTAAGAGGGAGAAACGTGTCGGGGCTTTAACCCTTGCCTGGGTTTCTTTTCCAGTTGTTCCCCACATCACAGATGCCATACAGGAATGGGTAATGAGGCAGGCACGGATTCCTGTGGATGAAGATGGCATTGAGCCCCAAGTTTGTGTGATTGAGGTTTGTAACTTCTAAAAAGTAGGTAGTTTTGTTTCTTGTATGCAGTAAACTGATCTATATGCATATTTTGCATTTTTCTTCACAGAAATGTTCAACTTTGCGTGTTACTGAATGGGTTAAAAATTCCCCGTGTTAACTTCACTTTAATCTTTTGAATTGCAGCCTGCAGCTGCCTCAGGAGGGACAGCCCCACGGGACCCCAGGGAGCAGCTGGAGCTGTGTCAGGGCAGATTTGGGCTGGAGATCAGGGCAGGGTTCTTCCCCCAGAGGTGCTGGCTTTTTTTAGCTCTTGTAACTCAGTATGCCAGTCTGAGTTAATTGTGCTGTGCCCTCTTCTCCCCTGGTGCCTGGAGGGAGGGGAGGTAAATCCCCCTCTAGGTGCAGTTGTCTTTCCTCCTCCAAGTGACCAGGTCAAGCACAGGCAGGCAGCAGGGAATGGCACAAGGTAGTGGTGGCAGTTCTCAGGGTGTTTATGGAACATTCTGCTGCCAGAAGGAGACAGAGCAGGGTGAGGGCTCTGACACTGCTGAGCTGGCTGCTGGGATATGCTAACACAGGAGAGGCAGCTTGTCACAGAGCCCAGGTCAGGGTGACTTGGACTCTGCCTGCAGCTTGGGTGCCAATTTGTGTGCCAGGGTCACAAATCCAGATCTCGAGTACCAAGGAGGCACTGTCTGACAGGTATAGTTCCTGTGTATGTCCACTCTATATACTTCCTAAAACTTAACAGAAATTCTGCTTCTCAGTGCCACCTTATGTTCATAAATCATAATTTTCACATTGAAGTCTTTTCTCTGAAGAGAAAATAGGGGCCAGGCTGATGTCTTTGGAGAGGTGCCCATAGGGGAAGTGTTTTTCTTGTGGCTTTTTGATTTGTGGGGAAATGATGAAGGTAGAACAGTACCTGCAGTAGATAGTTATGTGTGTTTTCATGTCTTTAGTGTACACCTTCCCCAGTTTTGGCAGTAACTCCCAGTGTCTGTGTTGCAGCTCGGGGGCACTGTGGGTGACATCGAGAGCATGCCTTTCATCGAGGCCTTCCGCCAGTTCCAGTTCAAAGCCAAAAGAGAGAATTTCTGTAACATTCATGTCAGCCTGGTTCCTCAGGTAAGGACCCAAAATTTACTGCTGGGCAGAGGCTTCCTCAGTGCAAAATTTCCTAAACAGCTGTTTCTGAAATGCTGTATCTCTAAGTGCTGGTGCTTTTGTATTGCTGTGTGTATGTAAACTTCTGGCAGAAATGCAGGGATTATATGCTTATGTATTTAAAAAGTTGTACAGGAATGAAACAGGAACTTTTCAATGCGTGTAAATGTGTAATAAAGGCTTGGGAGTTGCAGAAATGCAGCATGAGCATTCCTTGTGTCAGACAGAACTGGATTTGACAGAGCAAATTGATAATTATGGAATGCAGATCAGTCTTTGTTCTCTTCTCCTCTTTTCCCCTTCTGTCCAGGCCAGGTGATTTGTAGAGAAAAATCAGAAATACAGAACATTAGGTGTTTGGAGGGAGCAGTGGATAAGCCTTAGGCTCTCTGTCCCTCTCCTTCCTGCACTGCAGTGGGAGATTGGAACTTGGGTTCCTGCTGTTGCTCTCAGTCCTGGGGATTAAAATGGGCTACATGAGGTTCATGTGAATTGTCCAGGAATTGAGTCAAAGTCTTTATCACATGTCTGAGAGTTCTGATTAAGCTGCTGAATCATTGCTGCTTATCACAATCTGATGCACCCACTGCTCTTCTCTGACCAGCCAAGCTCCACGGGGGAGCAGAAGACCAAACCCACCCAGAACAGTGTTCGTGAGCTCAGGGGCCTCGGGCTCTCTCCAGATCTGGTAAGGTTTGTGTAGCATGGTTTGCATGTCAAAATCTGGCATGTTGCAGCAGCAGTCTTGTCTAAGTAATGCTTTATTTGAGAGCTCTTGTATAGTGGTGATAAATAAGGAAAAGAAACGGAGTTGTGGGTTTTTTTCTCAAATCACAGAGGCTGCACAAAGACAGCTCTTTTTAGGGGTTTGTTTTATGAATGCCTGAGTGTTTCTGTTTGCATCACAGCCCTGATGTTGCTGCTCTGTTAGATTGTTTGCAGGTGCTCCACTCCACTGGATACCTCAGTAAAAGAAAAGATTTCCATGTTCTGTCATGTTGAACCAGAACAGGTGAGGATTGCTGTCTGTGCTTCCTTGCAGTGAATACTGGAGCTGCTTGTCAGCTGCTGGGGGGAGTTTTGTCTAGTGCAGCAGTTCTAGCTCTGTTTTGGTAGCTGCATAATTCATTTGCTGCTTTGTCTTACCTCCCTTCCTGACACATGGACCTGTTGCTAATCCAGTTCTTTTTGTGCCAGCACCCAGGTTTTCTTGTAAGGTGATTGGTGTAAGCTTAGAGAATTCTATGGTATCCAAGGTGATTTCTGAATCACTGTTTTGACCTTATAGTCCCACGTTCCTTCTGTGAACATAGAAGAATGAGATTTCCCAGTATTTAGAGGTGAAAAGATTAACTGAAAATAGTTGTAAAGGATGTATGGCTGCACTTCTGCTCTTTTCACAATATTATTCTTCTGCCCAAGAATTCTTGAGGAGGGATTTCACAGAGAGCTTGAAATGGTGTTTGGGAAAAGCAGTGCTTCACTTGAAGGTTGTGATATGCACAAATTCCATGTTTGCATGATTGTTTCTATACTGAGACTTGTAACACATTCTAAGGTGGACCTTGGAAAATAGTCAAAAGTTTGTAGGCTGAGTTTAGCACTTTCCAATACAGCTGGAGCTTGGAAAATGTTGTCTTTTTGTGAAAGACTGAGTATAACTTCACAATCCCAGGTTCTGTCAAGTAATTTTTATTATTCTGCTCTATAGCAAGACCAAACTTGAGTCCTGCATTTTCAAGCACTGCACTGCTGGCAATAATGTTGATGTGTCATCAGTAAAATATCTACCTCTTGTTGGCCAGGAATTCAAAATAAGTTGGCTCTTGTCCCTTTCCAGGAAGTTTAATGCAGTTCTATGTAGTTGTTGCTCTGACTGCTGTTGCACTTGGATTGAGAAGTGAGCAGCAGTGAGGGTAAAAGAGGAAAATGTGCAGCCAAGAAGGTTTGAGTGGTGCAGTACTGAACTCTGCTTTCATTTGAGTCAGTGGAAATGAGGATTTAAAACAGTTCTGCCAGTGTGTCTTGGATCCTTAAAGTACAGGTTCATTATTAATGGACAGTTGTCCTGAGCCATCTTTTCCCATTTCAGTGAACTAGAACTGTTGATTTAGATTTTTCCTCGTTGACCTAAGAATTCTTTGCATGATTGTGTAATCCTAAATTTGATGAGGGGCACCCTGTGAAGTGTATTGGGGTCACAGATTTCCCTGGGTTTCACTCAGACTGGGAGCCCTGGTTAGGAAGGACAGTGGCAGGAAGGTGGAAGCTGTGCCTGTGGCAGTTTGACTGTAGCTTCTCTTGGGATTCTGTGTCACAGGAGTCTCTCTGGAGTGTTCTTTGAACTTTACTGAGTGCTGCTCACATAGTGTGCTGGGCAGCTGACTCTCCTGCTGCTGGGTTACTGTGTTATAGCCCTTCCCAAGGGGCTCCAGGGAGCAGTAATGCCTTGGAAGTGCTGAAGAATGGCTTTTTCAAGCATAAGGAAACCAGTAAAACTATTGATATGTTATTCCAAATGTTATTGCCTGGAAGTTTAGGTGGTCATTTGGTTTTCTGCTAGAGACAGGAACACTCTGAGTATCTGAGTAAAAATGGTTGTACAGGCACTGGATGGCTGTTTTAATGATCTCCTTATTTTATGAACAGGTCATTTGTGTTCATGATGTCTCCTCCATCTACCGGGTTCCTCTGCTCTTGGAGGAGCAGGGGGTTGTGGACTACTTCAGGCACAGGCTGGACCTTCCCATCGAGAGGCAGCCCAGGAGGATGCTCATGAAGTGGAAGGAGATGGCTGACAGGTGAGCTGCACTGCTGGGCACACTGCAGCACACTGCAGGATTAGTTTCTGTTCTTGGCTGTTGGTTGTTTGAGATGATGTGTGTTCTTACATGCTCACATTGTTTTTTTCCTTTTGCTCAGAGCCCCACCCAAACTCTGAATGTTTCCAGGGTGGGGAATCCACAGCTGCTGTAGACAGCCTGTGCCAGTGCCTCACCACTCTCATTGTACAAAGTTTCATCCTTAGATCTAGCCTAAATCTCCCCTCTTTTAGATCAAAACCATCACCACTTGTCCAGGCACAACAGACCCTACTAAAAAGTCTGTCCCCATGTTTCTCATAAATCCTCTTACTGGAAGGCTGCCATGAAGTCTGCCTGGAGCTTTTTCTTGTTCAGGCTGAACCACCCCAATTCCCCCAGCCTTTCTCCATAAAATCCTGTGAGATAAACTTAGTGAGATCTTTATCTTACGTTGGAAGTGTACTGTCTGAGTCAAACCCAGCTTGAAGTTATTAAAAGCTGGACAGCTCTGCCCTCCCTTTTTATGAAAAAACCTCTCAGTAACATTACAAAGTGATGAAATCCTTTTGTAGCTATATGGAGATGTCAGGAGTGTCAAAGAATATCTTTGAGAGTGCTCAGGCAACTGAGACAAGTGTTTGGTACCTGTTCTGAGACTCCTTGGGCACTGGGATTTTTTCTTGTGAGGAGCAGACTCAATGCTCATGGGGAAATAGTGAATAGAGTCTTTTCAGAAAGGGCTTGAATGTCATCTGAAGCCTTAAATATGTTTGTTCTTATAAGAAATTAATTTTCAAGATCTAGATGCTTTCCTTGATTTCTGTGCCTGACAAAAGCCAGCCCTGTCAATAAAATTTCCTTTTGATGGGGAAAGCCCTTGGTCACCAGCTGGGCTGAAGGTATTGAGCAATTCTGAGAGAAACTTTAAGCAAACTCTTGGCTGTAGCCAGGAATGCTGTGTGAATCCTGTGCTGCCAGGTGCTGGGGACTGGAAGTGGAGGCAGCAGAGCCTTAGGAGTGCAGAAATGCTCTCTGTGTTTGTAGCTGCTGATAGGAGCTCAGCAGCAGCCTGGGAAGATGCTGTGCAGTACAAACAACACCAAGCTGTGCTTTGATCCTCTCCTAGGAGTTCACTGCAGCCTTTGAATCTAATACAGCTCCCTGAAAAGGCAGTTTGGATCTGCTCAGAATGGCTTTTCATCATCAGGAGAGATGGGTTCATTTATTTGTGGCTTTCTGCAACTGTTTTCCTCATTGTTTTGGTTTTGATCTTGCTTTGATGTTTCTAAATCATAATTATTGTAAAAGGTCACTTTTGCAAAGACGTCAGCTCTGTTGGACACACGCAGGAGAGCACAGCTGTTTGTTCCTTGGAAAGCTGAACAGAATGGAAGTGATCCCATCCCTCTCCTGGTGCAATAACCTGTGTGTTCTGGTGTTCTGTAGGTACGACCGTCTGCTTGAAACATGTTCCATTGCACTGGTGGGCAAATACACCAAATTCTCTGACTCCTATGCATCTGTCATCAAAGCCCTGGAGCACTCTGCCCTGGCCATCAACCACAAACTTGACATTAAGGTAGGGGTGGGTTTGTGTGTGGGGAAAAAACTGCACCCATCTTGCTTCCACCTCCAGTGCTGCCCATCCTAATTCAGATTTTCACACAGACAGAAAGGGAGAAGTGATTCAGCCGATGAGCATCCAAATTATCCTGGCATCAAAACAGCTGTTTTGATTATAACAGCATTAAAGCAGCTGTTATCAGGCCTAAACCAGCTTCAGAGAAAACCAGCCCCTCCTCCTGTGAGCTGGAGTGGGTGGAAGCTCCTCAGTGCTGTGTGCTGAGCTGTGGCAGTGGTGGATGGATTGGAGGGGGGCACTCTCTGCTTTCATTTCTCTGAAACTTGTTGCAAGTGATTCTTTTAGTAGTTTTATCTTTTTTTGGTGCTGTTAACTTGGTGGGACTCAGGTTTTATGATGCTCCTGCCTCAGGTTGTATTAAGTTTTCATGCTGGTTTGGATGCACAGATGCTTTCAGGGGTCTTGGTCATAGCTGGATGCTCTGAAGAGGTAAAATATATACTTGTTCCCATGAAATAAAATGAAAATTTTATTTTCATTTCAGTAGATTTCTAAATGTCCAGCAGTTCCATGGTGTCAGTGAGTCATGGAAATAGGTGATTGCTTTTTAACAGTACTGATCTAGGTCAGGGTTTCCTTTCAACTTACAAAATCAGCAGAGGTGAAAATAAGCAAAACGAGACTGGTAAAGTGCAAACCCTGCACGTGCATCTGTGGGTATTTCCTGGCACAGCTGTGTCTGAGTGGCTCAGAAGTGAAGTGAGCACTGTGAGCCTTGTGCAGGGAGATCTTGTGCTGAAGAACTGAGTAGCTGTAGTTAGATAAAGAACTGATTGATAGTTTTGCAACTTCCAAAAAACAAACAGAAAAAGAAAGACAAAATGGTTCTTTTAAATGGTTAGCAGCCTGCCAGAATATCCAGAAGTTCAGAGGTACTGGAATGCTGGAGATGAGAAAATGGAAAAATTGCAGGGTTTTTTTCCATTGCCATAACACCCTCTTAATTACAGCAGCCTGTGTTTCACCACAGCCTATTTGTTCTGCAGTGCCTCTTGAAGAAGATGTTTATTTGATGAGAGAGGGATAGGTTTTTTTTTTTTTCCCCCCTCTCTTTGTGGTGGTTTGTGTCTGCACAGCCCCATGTTCCCACCTTGCTGTGCTGCATTAACACCTCACATTGAACATTACAGGGACGTGGTGTAAGGCACAGCAGGGCTGCAGAGAGGGGAGGACACAGAAATCCTGGGTTCTGTTTGTGCACCAAGAGCAGGGGGGTGAGGAGAGGAGTTTTGTTGGCTAACAGATGGGAAATCAGCCCAGCAAAAACTAAAGTATCCATTAGAAAACAAAGCCAGAGCTGTCCAGGAGGAATGATGCTGTCTTAATTTAATGAGAATTTGGGAGGTCCTGTACACTCTGGTGGCAATATCTCATCATCCTCTTGTTTGATTTCTTCCCAGTACATTGACTCTGCTGACTTGGAGCCAGACACTCTGCAGGAGGAGCCTGTCAGGTACCACGAGGCGTGGCAGAAGCTCTGTGGTGCTGAGTAAGTTCTGCTGTGGCCCTTTCCTTGGAGAATGTCTGATAAACCTGTTTTCAGCACTCTTGACAAGGCCCCAGACACCTCTCGGGGGCATTTAGGATAAGGTGTTAAATGGAGAATGGTTAGATAAGTGACGGAGGTGGTGAAAGGCAGGGGAAATCATGGTGATGAGGATATGCACACCTGCATGATGAGGTGGAAACAGAGGAGATCAGGAGAAGGGAGAGGTACTGGTGGAGGCTGTTAAAGCCAGAGTCAGAATGGAATGTGTAAATGGGCTACCAAGTTCTTCAGAAATAAAGTGTGAGAGGGGGAGGAGCATTAGTATGCAGAGGAGTGCCAAGAATTAGCACAAAACCAGGAACAAGTGGGGCCTGTTACCCCTCAGGGCAGCAGGACTTGAGTGAGAGCAGAAGAAAGAACCTCCTGCAGTTTGGTGTTAGGACAGCCTCACACTGTAGCCAGGGCTTTCCTCAGCATGGCCTGGCTGGGTGATGTGTTTGCAAACATGTTTGGTGCAGGGTGTGTGAGTCCCACAGCATGAGATATTTCAGCATGGTAACCTGTGAGATATTTGGGATCTTTTGGGAAGGTAAAATTGGCATTTATGAAACATTTCCCCCTCTTTATGTGACAGCTCATGTGAAGTCATGTGGAAACTGCTGCAGCCAGGCCTTACCACGTGGCTACTTCAGAGCCCTTTTCAGGGGAGAGGTCTTGCAAGGCCAAGATTTTGTGGGAGGGGGGTGATTTATGGCTGTGTGGTTTGGGGCAGCCATGCTGAATGGAATCTTTTCATCCTCATGCAGTGGAGTTCTGGTTCCTGGTGGATTTGGTGTTCGAGGGACAGAAGGCAAAATTCAAGCTATTTCCTGGGCAAGAAAACAGAAAAAACCCTTTTTAGGTGAGAGCCATGTTTCATCCATAAGAAGAAATAAAGGAAGTTGAACAGCCTTACTGCAGCAGGAGCTCCCCTGATCTGCAGTGGTGCCTGGGATGAGCAGTTTTGAGGAAGGCAGTGATCTGTGCACAGCTGAGCTGGCAATGCAGCCCCAGCCCTGGTTGGCTCTGAAGTGGTCAGAGTTGGCTGGGATGTGCTGACAAGGATCTGTAATGAGGGGATGGCAGTCTGGGGATGTTTCAGAGCAGGCTGTGGTGATCTTGGCACCAAGAAATAAATACATGACTGCCTTTCAGTGAAGTGTCTGTGGTGAGAGGCTCAGCTGGACTATGAGCAGAGGGGATGGGAGAGGGAGGGAAGCAAAGCTTGCCAGGACTACAGACCCCTAAATCCCAGTCAGAGATCTGCCTCTGACTCAGGATGCTCTGTGAGGGTGTGTGTGCTTTGCAGCATGGGCTCAGAGGTCCTTGTCCTGGCCTGATCCCTGTCCTGCCTGTCCTTCCACAGGAGTCTGTCTGGGAATGCAGCTGGCAGTGGTGGAGTTTGCTCGCAGTGTCCTTGGTTGGCAAGGTAATGGCACAAAACCCTTCCTGCCTTTGGTCATTCCTTGGGTTGCTTGAGTAATAACTGATTTTTTTAGATACCTGTGATTCTAAGTTTTTCATAGATAGGTTTAATTTTTTACCTAGACCTGTAAAAATCCCAATCTCTTTTGCCAATTCAAAGTAAAAAGAGCAATTTCCTTACTCTATTTAAATAAAAATCAATAGAGTAAGTCATGCTGATAATGACAGAGAGCTTCCTATTGCTCAACATGAGGTTCTTAGCTCCTGAATGAAACACCTTGGCAGCCTACATGTGCCAAATTCCCAGTGCAGCCAGTGGGAATGGAGCCCAAAAAGCAATTCAGCCAGCCAGCAGTTGCAGCTCCTTCAGTGAGTGGAGTTACCTTCTGAGCCCCTGTGCTTGGAGTGAGCAGGTCCCTGTTAACAGAGCTCCCTTCAGAGAGTGCTGAATTGAGTTCTCAGCCTGACTCTGATTTTCTCCAGTAATGAGGTGAGGAAAAAGGAATTCCTCAGACCATTCTCCTTTCCCCCTCCCTGCCTTTATTTCTGTATCTGAAGCTGTGTTTTTCCTGAGAGAGGGTGGGTTATCCCCTGACTGCAGCCTTTGAAACTGGTACTGAACAGTGCTGCCAGGCCTGTTCCTGCTGCCTGGGGTGCTCTGTGCCTGAGGGGGCTCAGCACAGCTGGGGATGAGGAGCAGCTGTCCCTGGGGGTGATGCCATGGTGGGAGCCACTCTGTGTTCCTGACTGCTGAACCTCACATTGCAGATGCGAACTCAACAGAGTTTGACCCCAAGACTTCTCATCCAGTGGTGAGTTTATGGTGATTTACTTGTGATATCCTTACCTGACTTTTCTGCACATCCCTGGGCATGATTGCCAGGAGAAGCTGTGGCTGCCCCATGATCCCTGAGTGTCCAAGGCCAGGCTGGACAGGGCTTGGAGCAGCCTGGGACAGTAGGAGGTGTCCCTGCCATGGCAGGGGTGGCACTGGATGGGCTTTAAGGTCCCTTCCAACTTGAACTGCTGCATGATAGCTCCAGACAGACCTGAATTCCTGGGAGCATTTATGGAAGGCTCTGGGTTTCTGGTCCAGAGTCCACCATAATGATTGGCTTCTGCTGTAATTTAAAATGCTACTCAGAGTGAGGAACTAGAAAAAAAACAGCTTATGATGTTATTTATCAAAGACTGAGCAATTCTGATTTGGGAGTTTTGTTTTCATAATTTGTTTAATGTGCAGTTCAGTGAACAGCACAGTACTGGTGTGTGCAATCTGTGTAAACTCTGACTGAGGCCATTTCCTCTGTGAAAGTTCCCTGAATATCCACAAACCTTCCATGTGTGCTGTGCAGCCTGTGCTGAACAATTCAGCCAGCTAGCCTAGGTCTGTTGGTCTGCCTTGTCAAGACTGTTCCTTGGGCTGGTTTCCTTGGTTTTTTACATGAATGTTGGTGGGAATTTTTTCCTTTTATGTGTCAGAGTCTGCCTGTTATAGTTATTGTTACTCCTCTCTCATTCTCACGTCCCTCTGAATTCTTTCCACAGGTCATAGACATGCCAGAACATAATCCTGGGCAAATGGGTGGGACAATGAGGCTTGGCAAGAGGAGGACACTCTTCCAAACCAAGAATTCAATCATGAGTAAGGCCCTTCTTGCCTCTTCTGGAAATGTTTCCTGGGAATGGCTTGGGGAAGTGAGGCCTGGGGATGTTGAAGCATCCCTGAATGGCAGATCCCACTCTTCTGGTGGGGAATGGGGATCAGGGAATTTGATCCCCTCCAGAAATGGCAGATTCTGAAGGATGCTGATCAAGTGAATGTGTTAAAAGCTGTCATCACTGCTCTAAGGAACATCTTACTTCTGCTGCAGGGAAGCTCTATGGAGATCATGATTTCTTGGAAGAGAGACACAGACACAGATTTGAGGTAAAAATGCTCATGTAGGTATTGAGCTTTCCTGTGTAATCCAGACACAAGAGATCATGGCTTGTCTTGCTTCCGATTTTCTAGGTCAATCCAGAACTGAAGAAGTGTTTTGAAGAGCAAGGTCTGAAGTTTGTGGGGCAGGATGAGGAGGGAGAGCGGATGGAAGTGGTTGAGCTGGAAGGTGAGTCCTTAAGCAGCAAGGACTTTGTGGGTGTGGGATGAGCAAGGGAAAGGGGAGGGTGATGGAGCAGGTTTTCATGTGGCACCCCTTCAGACTGTCGTGATTCCATCCCTAAAATGATGGTAAAAATAAAATGCCATGTCCCTCTCCATTTATGGACAAAAATGGAAATTTTACTTTCCCATCATCAGGGCTTCAACATCATCAGGATTTCACCTGCAGCTCAGCCACAAGCTTGAGAGTCTTGACATGAATGTTTTGTTTGTCCTCAGACCATCCTTTCTTCGTTGGTGTTCAGTATCACCCCGAGTTCCTCTCCAGGCCCATCAAGCCATCACCTCCATACTTTGGGCTCCTCCTGGCATCTGCAGGGAGACTCACCCACTACCTGCAGAAGGGCTGCAGGCTCTCCCCCAGGTGGGTTTCAGACACACCCCAGTCAGAGCTGTCACAGGACAGTGCTGCTTCCTGCAGGATAACCCAGAGCATCCTCCTGGCACAGAGCTCCTGGGGATAACTTGGTATTGCACCCCCCCTTCTTTCCACTCTTCTTTTGAATGCTCACATCTGGTGTGTTGAGGCTGATTGTGGGGCCACAGAGCAGCCCTGCAGAGAGGCCCTGGCTGCAGGGAGAGGAGATCTGCAGCCTTGTGCTGTCCTGCTGTCACTCGGGCTCTTTGGAGGTTGGGCCTGCTCTTTTACATGGCTGCAGACCTCACGGGCTTTCCCTGCATTCCTCAGACAAGTCCCACCTACAGGCTGGTCCAGGAGAAACTTGTTCCTGTTTCTGGTTTAAAGAACAGGCCCTCGTGGTTGCAGCCTCATAATTTTTTTTTTCCTGCTGACTTCAGCTTTCTTTGTTTCAGTTTGCAAAGCAAGTGGTGTTTTGGGTGGGTTTAATGGTGCAGTTACTTGGTGCTGCAATTCCCTTTGGCACTCAGGACTGTGCAACAAATAACATTTGGTACTGACCTGTTCTGCTCCTCACACTGAGGGTTGCTGAGTGCTGACAGGCACTAAACAAAAACCACACCAAATGCAGAGGAGAATTAGCAGTGCCTGTATCAAGCCCAGGCAAATGCACTGCCAGAAGGAAAGTGTTGGCTTTGTGGGCTGAGCTGCAGTGCAGCTGCACCACGGGATTGCTGTTGGTGTCAACATCACAGTGGTCAGGTGTGGTCCATGTGTGAGGCACTCTCATTTCAGTGCCTCCAAGGGGGGAGGGATATTTCAACTCTCTGCTTTTGAAATGGCTCCTTGCAGCAGAGGAGCTGAAGTTTTCCCTGTGCTGCAGCATCCCACATTAATTATCTGTCCTTAAAGCACTTGTGCTCCCTAACCCCAATCTTTGGCTCCTGCAGGGACACCTACAGCGACCGGAGTGGCAGCAGCTCTCCTGACCTAGAGATAACAGAGCTGAAGTTCCCTTCAGCAAACCACGACTGATGCCTGGTAATGTTTCATGATCTCAGCCTCTTCCTTTTGGAAAACATTTCTTGGCCAGTCTTTGCTTCTGGCACCTGACTGCCACGTTGTTTGTTGGAAAGCTGGGGCACCACGAGGTGTGCTGCTGCTCACACCTGAGTTCCAGCTGTGCTGAGGGCTGGTGCTGCCTCTCTCTGTAACAGCTGGGGATGGTGTCCCCTAGCAGAGTGACACAAATAAAATACAAATACACACAGAGGAATGTGGGGTTAGATTTGGATAAAAGCACCAGTGGAGCACAATCCTGGAAATGGGGGCAGAGCTGCACAAGGGGTTCCTGGGTTTAGGGAATTCAGTATTTTGCAGTCCCTCACCACAGTAAAAGAACATCTTGGAAGTATCTGTTGTGTGCATCTCGTGGGACAGCAGATCCTGTCAGACTTAGAGCTCAAGCTGTGCTCTGTAAGGGCTGCAGGTGTTACATGGATGTAAAAACTGGATGTACACAGTCCTGGGAAAGAGAAGACACTAAAGCCTGGCACTCAGATTGCATCAGCAAAACAGGCAGACTTTACATTTGCATCCTCCCTCTGTTCAGTGGGTGATCGTGGATGTGAGACACTGGCTGGCTTGTGAGGGGGTTTTGCAGGAGCAGGGCTCCACTGCTGAGTGCCAGGGCCCTCTCCTCCCCCTTCAGAGTGACCTGCAGGGGAAAGCAGGGTCAGCCCCAGTGTGTCACAGGAGTGCTCCCATCCCTGGGCACAGGACTGGGACCAGGTGTGATTGCTGGTGTTGGGCTGTTCCACAGCACCAACAGCTGAAGAATTCTCTCTGTAAATTTTGATCCTGAAGATGCTCTGAACCTTGGTCTCCCTGACAGCATTCCCTGTGTTCCCTAACGTGGCAGGTCTGGTGGGTTGGAGGCTGTCCCCACATGAGGAAGCTGTGGGGAGGGTGGCAATGTCCTGGGACTTATGCCAGCCCAGCTCTCTTAGTCAGGGCTGCAGCACAGTGAAAATGCTGCTTTGGTGCTGGCTGAGCTGTGCTCACTGCTCTGTGTGGAAGGAGCCCTGTCCAGGGGGGCAGTTCAGTGCCTTTGGAGGTGCCACAGTGCCCCTGTGGAGCTGAGACACCCCTGAGCTGGGCACAGGGCTCTGGCCAGGGCCCATGTGTCACTCTGCCTGCAGTGCTGAGCAGTTCCAGCCTGTGGCTTTTCCCTGTTGGTAATTCCTGCTCCTTTTCTCTCTCCAGGTGTGTCCTTGCTGCAGAGAGGAGTCTCCATTAGGTTTTCCAGGTGTTCTTACAGCAGTAGCTTCAACACCCTCAGCTTTGGGCTTTCCTAATTTATGGGTTTATAATTTTTATTCTGAGATCCTGTCCCTTATTTCCTCAGCTCTTCTGTCCTTCCTTTATTTTCTCTATAGATCTTGGTTATTTGTGGAGGAGAGTTCACAGGCCCCTCCAGACTCCTTTCAGTTCCTTCAGGTGCACCAGCCTGGAGGTCAGAGCAAGCTGGGGTTGGGATTTGCTGTGTTGAGGGGAACCCCATGGCACACATCCTTCCCAGTGCAGGCAGTGCTTGGCATCAGGGTGCCTTGGACACTGACACTGCAGTTGCTTTCTCCAGGCTTTTGCTCCCTCCTCAGTCTTTACTTACTGGTGAAATTATGGATGGCACAAGATTTTGGGGGCTGGCTTAGTGTCTGAGCTGCAGAGAGGGCTTTGGGCAGCTTCATGCAGTCTTTTTTTTTTTTTTTTTTTTTTCTCCAGGGAAAGGGGAGAGGGGATGATTTTTGGTCTTTTTTTTCAGTAGCATTTGCAAACCTTTGCCACTGGTGCTCTTGGTGCATTCATTCATTGTCACTATGAATTTGTAACCAGGAAGATCTTCCTGGAACAGTGTTACTCTGGAACATGCTCAGCTCTGGCTGACATGTCACTGCAGGGATGTGATTAACTGGGATCAGGCTGGGGGCAGGAGAACAAAGCTGCCAGGGAAGCCCTGACCCAGGGGTCCCTGTGAGCCCTCCCTGTGCTCCTGGGGCTGGGAAACTCCGACCCCTTGCATCAAGGGGGAGGTGAGAACAGAGTGAACCACTGAACCACTTCCACTGCTGCCTTGAACTGTGTCCCTGCCTGGGACACAGCAGCTCCTGGTGCTTTTTATGGATTTGAAGCAGAGCCTTTTGTTGCCTTTTTGTCACATTGGAGTCGTGTCCTGGGCTCTGCAATGGGAGCCCTTCCTCCTCCAGGGCTGTTCCTGAGGGAGGAGCTCACCTGCCCTCGGGGTTACCTGCTGGGGCTGGTGCTGTTGCTGTCCAGCTCTGTGGTGCTGTGGGGCTGAACTGCCTCGGTTCCCTGCCCTGGGTGGCCCTTGATTGAGGGGAGAGGAAGGAAGGAAAGTGTCTCCCTTGTCTGATGTTGCACACTCAGCCTTCAGCAGCCCGGTGGAGTTTGGGAGGGCTGCATGGTCAGACCTGGCTGAGCCACGAAACCAAGCCCTGTCCCTCCCCAGCCCCCTTGCTTTAGTCCTCAGTTGTTTGAAATATTCCCTGTAAAGCTGCTGTGAGCCTGGAGAGCTTCGAGCATTCCTCGTGTGCCAGCTCCAGCTGTTGTGCAGGAATTCTCTGGTTGCAGTGCTCTGCTGCTGCCCAGCCTGCCCTGGCCTGGCTGTCCTGAGGCAGGGTGAGATCCTCCCTCAGCTGCAGCACAACTGTGGATTTTTCCCCTGAAATGTTTGTTTTAGCCAAAACCATGCAACTGACTCGGTCATTAAATGCTCATTTGTAACAAACTGAGTAAGGAGCCCTGAGCCTGCTCTGTTCCTGCCTGCTCGGGGGGAGGGAGGGAAGGAAAGGATTGAAGCACAAAACTGCCCAATCTTGAATGAATCCCCTCTAAGCAAACACTTGTGAGCTGTATTCAAACTGGAGTTAGATGTGGAGCTCCAAAGTCTGAAGTTACTGAGCTTCCTTCCAGCCCTGGAGGAACCTGGGCAGCCTGGGCTGAGCCTGCAGGCTTTGCAGGGCAGAAAAAGCTTTCCAGTGGCTTTGAGCTGCCCCAGGAGGGTTTGTCCCCCCCTCCTCCACAGCTGGGAGTGTTTCTTGCCCAGTGCAGGACAGAGCTGTGTCCCTGGGCCACGGGGTGACGTGGGGCTGTCACTGCTGCCACTCTGCTGTCCCCAGAGCAGCCTCAGCCCTGCCTCTGGGTTCAGGAGCAGCTCTGCTGGGACAAGTCCTGGGGGCACCCTGTGTTTCCTGGGGGTGCCTCAAGGGCTGGTGGGCTCAGGGAGGACACCATGTGCTTTGCTGGCCTCACAAATCAACCCCCAGCCCCACCCTGGCCCTGCTGTCCCTCCCTGCCCGGGGCTCAGTCCTGGGGCTCAGCCCAGTGCTGCCATCGGTGCACAAACCGCGGGGAGGAACTTGGTATCCTTTTATTTATAAACAAATCAAGTAAAATAAGTGCAGAGGAAAGCACGGCTGACCCCGCCGGGGCCGGGTCACACCGAGGGCCCCGTGAGCAGCCAGAGCCCCAGCCCCGCTGCAGGACAAAAAGCCATTTTGCCTTTTTATTACTTTAGGGTTTGGGGTATTTTTTCTTTTTTTTTTTTTTGCAACTTTGCCCCTTAGGGGTAAACCTGACTCAGTGCAAGAGCCTGGAGGGTTGGTCACCACAGGGGCCTGTCCTGCTGCTGGCCAGGCCCTCGAGGCTGCAGGGAGGGTGAGCTGTGGACAGGAGAAGGAAGTGCTTGGAGTGGAGATTCCGTCCCAGCCCTTTGGTCACTGCAGGGAAGCTGCTGAGGTGTGTGTGTGAGTGGCACACACTGGGGACAGCCCGTGCTGGCCCCATCAGCCCTGTCCTGCCAGCCCTGTCCCAGACCAGGCCAGGCTGGTGCCAGTGATGCTCTGGGGTCCGGGCAGCCCTGAGCTGCTGTCCAGGGGACACTGCACTGGCACAGCTGCTGGCTCCACTCTGACACTCCTCGTGCAGCTGCAGAAACATGTCTGGGACCACGGGAAGCACTCAAGTGCCATCAAAAATAAATACATTAAACTGCCTGAGACCAACAGGTGCCTTGGGGAGGGCAAAGCCCCAGAGGAGGGGCGATGCCGGGACAGGCCCCCACCCTGGGATGCCCTGGCCAGACCCAAAACCCTCACACACGCTGAGCTGGGACATACCAAAACTCTAGAGGAGCAGGAGTGCCCCTGGGAAGACAAACCTTAGCAGCTCTGGCTAAAAACCACCAAGAGCTGCGAGTTCAACACAGGTAGAAAAATCATCTCATCGTTTGAAACAGACAATTCCTTGGTTAAAAAAAAAAAAAAAAGGAATTCCAAATTAAAAAGAAAATAAAAAAAAGGCGAGAAGGATCAGCTGAGTCCTGCAGCATCCAGGCAGCCTCCAACACCAGCCCAGGCCCAGCCCTTTAAAAAGAAAAAAAAGGCGAGAAGGATCAGCTGAGTCCTGCAGCATCCAGGCAGCCTCCAACACCAGCCCAGGGGCACGCCAGGCCAGGCCCAGCCCTGCTCTCAGCTCTCTCCACGCTCCCACACGGCCTCCCCAGTCTGGAATGAATGTGAAGGGCCCCAGCCCGGTGTGCCCAGCTGGAGCCGGGTCAGCACTGGGGGCAGGATGGACGGGCTGCCCCTTTGGAGCCAGGGCTGGCTCTGAGCTCGCTGTGGTGCCAGGGCTGAGGGCAGACTGCGGGCACCGAGCCCCTGGAGGCTGGGCAGGCTCAGGGCCAGGCTGAGCCAACACCCGGTGCCCGGGGGCGCTGCCTGGAGCTGCTCCATCCCAGCAGCTCACGGAGAAGTGCAGGCTGGGCAGCAGGGAAGGGACCCTCCGCTTCCAGCGCCCACAGCTCGAGTCTGGTGCAAGCCGGGCCGTGCCGGGCTCCTGCGGGGCGGCGGGGCCGAGGCCCGGCGGTGTCCATGGAGGGGTGTGTGCATGCGAACCGGTGCCGGTGAGCACGGGAGGGGCGCCGCGAGCGGAGCTGCCGGGGTCCGTCCTGCCACCAGTCCTCTCAGAACTTGCCTTGCTTTAGCTTGTCGATGTGGTAAGTGAGCTTCAGGGCCGGCCCCAGCTTCAGCCCCATGTACTTCATCATCATGTCGCTCCGCAGCAAGAGCAGGGCTTTGCCGTCGATCTCCTGCAGGGATCAACCACAGTGCTTGGGATGGGCTGAGCTGGGAGCCCCAGCCCTGCCTGGGCCAGGCCGGGCCCAAAATGCACCAGCAGGGCTGGCTCAGAGAGCCCTGCTCAGCAGCATCCCAGAGGGACATCCCAGAGGGACATTCCAGCATGGAGACCCCAGTATGGACATCCCAGAGGGACATTCCAGAAGGGTATTCCAGTAGGGACATCCCAGCATAGAGACCCCAGTATGGGCACCCCAGTATGGACATCCCAGAGGGACATTCCATAAGGGCATTCCAGTAGGGACATCCCAGCATGAAGATTCCAGTATGGGCACCCCAGTAGGGACATCCCAGTATGGAGACCCCAGTATTGACATCCCAACATGGAGACCCCAGCGTGGACATCCCAGTATGGACACCCTAGTAGGGAAGTCCCAGCATGGAGATCCCAGCATGGAGACCCCAGTAGGAACAGCACAGGCAGCCCCACACCCACCCTGCTGCAGCCCTGGGCCATGTGTGTGATGGGAATTCTGCTGGGTGATCAACACCCAGGAGCCGTTTCCAGAGGGTCGGCACATCCTGAAGGGAGGGGAGGAAGGGAAAGGGAGGTTTCCCTGCCAGGGGAATGACAGAGGCAGTGGCAATGCAGGGGAGCCATGGCTCACTCCAGGGCAGGAGAAATCTGGCAGAGGATGTGTTGATGGTGACAGCCCTGCTGGGACACACAGCCCTGAAGCCATGGCTGGAGATGGAGGTGAGGGAACAGATCCTGAAGCCCAAAGAGCCTGTGCTCTGTGACTTGATATTAGGAGAAATTTCTTCCCTGAAAGGCACTGACACTGGCTGAAATCACCATCCCTGAAGTGTTCAAAAAAACATGTGGATGTGGCACTCGGGAAAATGGTTCAGTGGTGGCCTTGGCAGTGCTGGGGCAATGTTGGACTGTATGACCTCAGAGGGCTTTTCCAACCTGAATGGTTCTGTGGTTCTATTTCTGGAGCTTCACAGCACATTCCCAGCCACTGGCAGAGTGGTGGAGCTCCCCATCCCCACTGGGGCTCATTCCAACACAGCAGCTTTCAAAGCATCTGCTGCTTCACAGCAGAGCCAGATGTGGCCCTCCTGAGCCTAAGGAGGGGATGGATCATGGAACTTAGAATAACCAGGAAACAGCTTTGTGCCTGGCATTTGCAAGTGGAAGTCTCCCAGTCCCTTGCAGCACTCCTGTCCATGCCCCAGTCCAGGCTGGGTCCAGAGCTTTGCACTGGACAGTTTTCCATGAAGAAAATGTTAATTGGCTTTTAAGTGAAAAACAGAAGTTACAACCCCAAGCAACAGAAAATCCTGTCCTGTGTCAATGCTCAGTTGCTTTCAGGTTGGTGAGATCTCCAAGGATCTCCAGTGCCAGGTTTGATCTGTTTTTCCCTTCCACAGACAAAAGCAAGGTTCTCCTCAGGACTGACAATCCAGGGCACTTCTGTCCCTTGCCAGCTTTTCATAATTAAAACAAACATTTCTCAATTACTGGTATTTCTAAAATAGAACAAATTAAATAGTGTTGGGTCAGCCCAGCCCAGAGCAGGACACAGTGCTGGGTGTTTGCTCTTCATGAGCACCCCCAGAACATGGACTTTATCACAAGGCAGAGGAACACAGCTCCTGCAGGGCTCAGGACACGCAGCTGCCAAACCTCTCTTGAAGGTGGAATGCTACAAACTCCATGCTGTGTCTGCAGCTGTTTCACACTTCCAGATGTGCACAGGGACCAGAGCTCAGGAGATTCCCTGTTACAGGAGCTGAGCAGCAATGCACTCTGTGAATCCCACTTGGAATGTGTTTCTTGCCAGGAGAAATTTGCCACGAGGTGAGTATTAGACTCCAGGAGGAGCAGAGTTTGTGTTTTCAGCACTGGGACTCCCTGCAGAGGCTCTGTATGCACCCAGGCTGCCCCCAAGGGGTTCTGAGGAGGATCCAAGCCCGGACAGGGCATGAGCAGCATTTATGAGAATCTTTTTATTAAGCACAAAACTCCATCTGTGTGGAAACCCAGGGCACCAGGAATATTTCCCTGTGTGCTCTGACCATCAGGGGAGCACTGACTTTGACCCTCATTCATGGAGAAACTTTCCTAGACTTCAGGATAGACTAGAGTCCACAAAGGTGTGAAATAGAGTAGTGTAGGTGGATCACTTGGTGAGAAATTTAGATTTTGGGATTTTTAGTGTGTTGTGGATGGAAGCAAGATGGAGGGCACATGGTGTTGTCCTGGGTTTCTTCTTCATGCTTCTTCTTCCTCCTTCTTCATGAGTTTGGGTGGCATTTTGTAATTGGGCAGAAAAGGCTGGCTTGCAGGCTCTTTGGGATCAGTTATTGGGTTAAAAGGGAAAATAATCTAGGCGTCAGTTCTTAATTGGATAGTTTAGCTTTAAAAGACCTTGTAACAAGAGATTGTTGGCCATTTTGTGCCTTCTAATGAAAAGCTGCTGAACTCACACCAGTGAGACTGTTTTACTGATAAGAAATAATAAACACTTGAGTCCAAACATGAACTACTGTCTGAGGTGCCTTCAATCCAGACCCAGAGAAACCTACAACTGGGACCCCACACACCTGGTCTGAAGTGCTGCTGTTCTGACTCTGGTGGATATTGTTTGTGGGATTTGCCCCCTCCCAGCTGCACCACCCCCAGACACCCCAGGAGCCGTGGCACTCACGTGCTTTCGGAAGAGGTCAGCGTGGGGGCCCAGCTGCGGGTCTGACTCCCGGATGAACTGCATCACCTCCTCCACCGTCCAGGAGGAGGGGTCACGGCTGCCGAGGCGGGAGCTGTCCCGGGAGCCCAGGTACCTGTCAGAGCCTGGGGAAGGCAGACACTGTCACTGGGGCTCCCTGGCACTCCCCCCATCCACCACTCAGCTCCTCTCCCACAGCAGGGCAGAGACACAGCAAGGGCCACGTCCCAGGCATGCTCCAGACTCCTGTGGTGCAGGTCTGGCACCCCAGCCTTATTCCCTCTCCTCAGGCCTGACTTTTCAGGGCAGCCTTCTATACTGAGCCTTGTCCCGCCTCTCAAGCCCCAATCCCTGTTTGGCCCCAGCTCCCACTCCTCCCTGTCCATGGGTCAGGGAGGAGTGGTCCCTGTCCCACCTCAGCAGAACCCCCCTGCCATTCCCACACCTCCCCATGCACGGTTCCTCCTCCCCTCCCAACCCCTTTAGCACATTTAACACGACAAAGCTGGTTTATGTTTTCACTGGCTGCATCTTCTGATGGACTGAACCCACAGGTGACCTCCCATGTCCAAAAGCACAGGCTGAGCTGGCACAAGTCCTGCTCCCAGCCCCTTGTCTCAGCTCTGCCTAAAACCTGTGGGGGAGGCACCAACAGCCTGAGCTTTTCAGAGGCTTTCAGTGATGCCATGCACGTAAAATGACACTATTTGCAACCCCACATGCTGCAATGAGCAGCTCAGCTCTCCTGCCCCTCTTCCCCCATACAGACAAGTGCCACTCATGCACCTGCCCATCCTCTCAGCCCCACCAGGCAACTTGTGACTCCCCAGCCATTCCCACTCCATCCCTCTGGACTCAGACACCCATTTATCACTTGGACGCAGTTCAGCTCCTGCCTGTTCCTTTCTCCCCACTGACCTCCAGCTCCACCCAGTCACCAGCCAAAGGGAAATGTCACCTGTCCACACTGCCACCTGCCAGGTGCCACCACACCTGACAGACTTGGCTGGCTGTGCACAGCCCAGCCTCTGGTACTTGCTGAAGCCAGAAAGGTGTGACTGGAGTTAACCAGTCCTTCACTGCCCAACTCACAGCTGCAGGGCTGTCTGTCTGAGCTCTTACCCCCAGAGCTAAGCCTGCGCAGGGCAGAGGTGCTGCCCTGGCTGAGGCTAGAGGGCTGGTGCAGGTGCCTGTATCCTGGCAGGCGAAAGTCTCTGGAGCTCCTGCTGTGGCTGGATGAATTGACAGAGTTCAAGGCAGAGTCCATGGGGTCCAGGCGAGGCTCTAAGGGCCCTGGGAGGCCATCTCCCAGGACAAAGGTTTCACCTGGAATGCACCAAGCTGCAGTTAGTGCACCCGAACGCCACGGCCCCAGCTCCCCTGCGGGCAGAGCTCGCTGGCTCCAGCCCCTGGTCCCAGCACAGGGATCAAACCAGGCCCTGCCACAGCCCTGGCATTCACCAGCTGCCAGTCTGCAAATGGTGTCACCATCTGCCAGTGCCAGTCCAACCAGTGCAGTGACAGTGGTCCCAGACTGCAGCAGCAGCTCCTTTTTTCAGCTACTCTGCTCATGCCATCACCAGCCCTGACTGCCCTGGGCCCCTCTGTGGCCAAGGGCAGCGTGGGGAAGGGCAGGGCTGTCCCCTCTGGATGCCAGTGGACACAGGACTCACAGACAGGCCTGAGCAGGAAGGGGAGGGGATGCTCCCCGAGGGGTCACACACTGCACACCCTCAGCATCAGCGTGCAAGGGCATGGCCCTGCTGCTTGGCATGGGGGTGGCAGACACATGCAGAGCAGGAGGGAGCTGTGCCATCAGGGCCAGGCAATGCTCCCACACCGTGCTGCTCCTCTGGCCCCAAAGGCAACATGCTGGTGATGAGCTGCTCATTCCTCCTGGGCTCCTGCTGGGCCCTTTTCCAGCCTAACCACATTGGAGGCCAACTCCCTGTACTGGGACATGCACAGGAGGGCCTGGGCCTCTAATACCCTCCCCAGGCAGGTATCAGAGCAATGGCAGCTTCCTCATTTCTGCAGAAATGCAGTGAATTTGCAGCTGTCTGTGACACTACTGGGATGGAGGGGCTGAGGAGACTGTCTGGGGTGACAGGTTGCATTGGCTGAGGCAGCAAGATCTGCCTCTGCTCTTACACTGTGACAGCTCCACTGCAGGGCCACCTCTGCAGCTCTTACTGTGGCACAACTGAGTCTCAGCCCAGGTGGTCCCTGTGCCTCATGAGCCACCCTCAAATACCTGTGCTCTTTATGATGAAACACTGCAAGGAGGGAAGCAGCCCCACAGCGAGAGGCATTGCCTGTGCAGATAATTAAAGTTTAATTAAATGTGGCTGGGAGCTGCAGCTCCTCCACCAGAACCTCAGGGGCCCTGAGGGCAGCTCACAGCCTCGAGCTGCTGCCACCTGAACACCACAGCAGCTGACCAGGCTGAGGAAGCCTGAGCACTGGCTGGGCCCTGGGTTTCTTCCCTGGCACTTCCCACATTACAGGAGCAGCAGGTGAAAGCCAGCACAGCACTGCTGTGCTGACTGGGATCATGGTGAGGGTGCAGGATCTGCAGGCTGTGAGACCCAGAAGCTGCTGAGGTTTTCCCAAATTCCCTGCTGAGCTGATGCTGCCATGCTCCAGTGAAGGCAAGTGCTCCTTACCAGAGCCTGAAGTGGTTCCCAAGTGCTGCAGATGTTGGGCACCACTGACTGGGGCAGCCTCTCCTGGCTGCTACACCTGATCTGCTCTGCTTTCTGTGAACTGTGGCACTACTGTGACAGCTGGGATCTTCTGGTCTCGTGTCCTGCTGCCTGTGTTTGAGCAGAGCTCCAGAGGCCAGTTCAGCTGGCCCTGACCTGCCAGGGCTTTGCTGTAAGGACATGAAGTGGGAATATCCTTGTCTGGCTGTTGGCCAGCCCGGTGTGGGGCTGTCACTGGGTAATTGCTGATCCCACCCCAGGGCTTTGCCACTCTGCACTTGAGGCACTGCTGCTTTTGTTTGCTTTTAGGTTTCTGGGATGTGCCCAGGAACAGCAGCACAGCCTTAAAATCTCATGTACAAACTGCTGGTGGGGACTGCTACCCCTGGTGACCTGTGCTGGCCCACTTGTCACTCTCTTCCTGCATGGACAGGTGTGTTCTCACCTGCTCTGGATACATAAAAAATGGTTTGCTGGCTCATGGCTATTCCTGAATAACTTCATACCCTTCCTGCACTGCCACCACTGCATTTCAGCCCCAGACTGGATGCAAACCAGAGCTGGCTGCTCTGGCCTGGCCTGGCCTGAGTGGAGATCCCCTGCCCAGCCAGACCCTCCTGTGGGTTTCCACTGCAGCTGCTTCCAAGCAACTACATTTGGCGTCCTGTTCAACAGGACAGTTCTGTTTAAACCCCAAAACACTTCCCATTAAACATCTGGGGAAGGGTGCTGACTGCCAGGGAAGGACAGAGGCAGGAGAGGGCTCAGTGGGCACAGCCCTCTGAGCAGTCACAGGACAGTGGCTGTGGGCATGGGAACAGGTCCAAGCTGTGCATCTCAGCCCTCCAAGGAATCCCAGTACCTTCTGGGGTGACAGAGAGCTTCAGCTTGCCAGGAAGTCCTGGGACACTCACCCAGATGTGCTGGGTCATGCAAACACACATGTCTGAGCGCTCCCAAAACCCCCAGAGCTCTCACAGCAGGGACTGGTGTCACCAGAAGGAATTCCAGGGCCCAGTCTGGGAGAGCACGTGCACAGATTCCTGTCAGTGCAAGGCTGAGGATCCAGAATTCACCCTCAGAAATTATTCACTCAACAATGAACACTGTCATGACAGGAATGTGCTGTGATGCATTCTGCAAATACGTGATCCTGCTCTCACACGTTGGTGATCACACACCCAGGGCCACGGGTGAAGCCCTGGGGGCACGATGTGTTTTTGCCCAGGAGCTAAAACTGAAGGCACACAGTGATCCCCAGGCTCCCTCTCCCTGCACAGAGGAGTGCCTGCCTGGGCTGTAACTCTGCAGCAGAGCTGGGGGCTTTGTGGCAGGCTCAGTGCAGGAGGGAGGGAGGGTTTTCCTAAAAATACAAGCACACAGGGACCTGCTCAATGAATGGTACCTCCAGGGAAGGGAGGAGATGAGGAAAGAGGGGAATGATTGCTGCCCCTGGGAACCATCTGTAGACAAGATACTCCTGCAAGTGGCAGGGCACAACTGCACTCAGGCAAGATCCAGGATCCTTCACCCTTGATAACCAGAGTGGGAGGAGGAGGTGCCTGATCCTTAGGCAGAATTCCTTACACAAACTGTTAGATTTAACTAAAGGCTGGCAGTTGGAACATTGTAGGGAAACATGCCACAATTAGTGGCGGAGAGGCAGGGAGCTGATAATTAAAGTTTAATTAAACAAATAGTGCTATAGACTCAACAGTGTCATTTTACTGCTAAAACACGGGAGTTTGGCCACAAGCACAAATGTGATTTGCACTACTCCTGAACACCCACTGCTTCCAGCAAGTGATGGGCTGTGAAGGCAGGTCCCCACTGTGCTGGGACTGCAGTGTTTCAGCAAAAAGCCACACAAACACCACTGGATGCAAGAGGAAAAACAATGTAATATGTGAGATCCCTTCCTCGTGTCTCTGCTTCTTGCCAAATGCAGAGTGAATGGAGATGTCCCACTGCTGCTCACAGCCTTCCATACAGCAAACTGGGATGTGCTCAGGAGCTGCTGTCTGAGACAGAGTTCATTCCCATGAGAAGATGTACCTTGCTCAAGAAATGCTCAATATCTGAGTATTTCAGGTGTATATTCTTAAAATACATCCTCTGAAATGCAAATATTCCTGCCTCAACCTCAATTTCATTGTGGAGGAGGATGTATTCATTACAGCTTTTAGCTGTGGGATAAGAATGAATTTCTAGATGGAATTTTGAAACTGCACCTCATTGCTCCCTGCTTGGATGAAGAACAGAACCAGACCAAGCTGCTGCAGGCAGGATCACCCCTCACATGCAGACACACTTCCTGCCCACTTTTCTGAGGTTTTCTGGAAGAGGTTTCAGAATTCTGGCATCCAGATGGCACAACCCACTCCAAGGCCAAGGGATAACTGAACAGACTTTGAAGCACACTGAGAATCAATCTTGTGGAAACCTAATGAAGGCTCCTCCTTGGAATTACCCATTATGGAAGCCTTCTCTCTTCACTGACAATACACAGTGGGCAATATTCACCATCCAACCAAGGCATCTGAACCTCTGGAGCAATCCAGCTCTTCAGGAACAGGCTGAGCACTGCATGTCCCACCTGCTGGGGGAGAGGAGGGGCTGGGCTGTGCCAGCAGTTACCCAAATGCAGTGGCTGATGCATCAGAGGGGAATCACAGAGACCAGCACCCATTTGGAAGTGAGGAACACAAGGGGCCTCTGGGAACAGTTTTTGACCTGTCAGCATGCTGGAATAGATGAGGCACTGCCACACACCAGCTCTGTAAAATGTACAGTTTTAATCACTGCAGATAATGAGGCCACTAGAAAGTGTCCAGCAGAGAACCATGGAATGGTTTGGGTTGGGAAGGACCTTAAAGCCCATCCAGTGCCACCCCCTGCCATGGCAGGGACACCTCCCACTGTCCCAGGTTTCCAAGCCCTGTCCAGTCTGGCCTTGGAAACCTCCAGAGATGGGGCAGCCAAGCTGCTCTGGGCAAGTTCAGAGCTGTGTTAGAGGCACAATCAGTGGTTCTGCAGAGCACAGGATGGACACAGACCAAAATCACCCACAGTGGTGCCAGGCTGGGCACCCACACCTGGGAAAAGCAACCCCAACAAAACCAGGGAAAAGGGGATTCTCAAGGGACAGCAGCAGAGCATGAAGCCACTGAACTGGGAGCCTGCCCAGGAGTCTCCAGCAATTTTTCAGGGATTTCAGTCACAAAGAATTGTGAGTAATGTGCGGGCAGATTTCACCATTCATTAATTAAAAGCCTCAGTAAGATTAAATCTTCAGTCTTCATTATGAAGGGTTTGCAGTTCAGAACAAAGTGGGAGTGTATTTATTGACGATTACTCAGTTCAGGGAGTCCTCCAGCTACCTGGATCTTCTGGAAATCTCCCACTTGTGCATGCAAGGGTCACCTATGGATCCCACAGCTAAAATAACTGAGTTTGTGATAAAATGAACTGGGCAAACTTTGCCTCTTCATGGGAAGATGAATTCTGCTGCTGACTTGCATCCCAGCAGTGTGGGATGGGAATGGTGTGGCTGAGCTGGTGGAGCCAGTGACACCCCCCAGCTGTTTTAGGAGGCCTGTGAGGGACGAGATGAGATCCTGGGAAAGGGCAGCAAGTTCCTGGGGTACAGCTGCACATCAGCATCTGTACAACAGGCTGCAGCAAACCCTCAGGGAAAACCCCACAAATCCAGGGGCAGACTGACTGAGGCAGCTGGGCAGTTTGAGCACTGTTAATCCCATGCACAGCGAGGGAAGCTAAACCAGATTATACACTGTGAGATGATGCCTGTCAGGGTTAGAAGGAAATCCTGCTGCATTCCACACACCTGCCACATCTGTGTGGGGAACCTGGCTCACCACAGAGCAGCTCATCCACTCCCCTCTGCAATACCAAGCACAACCCATGCCAGGGATGAGCGAGCAGCTCCCTGAAGCCACGGCTCGGTTTGGCACGGCACGTGTGAGCCTGCAGCAGCCAGGAACAGCCAGCTTTGGGAAGAGACACGCTGTGCTCACCTTCCAAAGGGTGACGGTCATTCTTTGGTAACTTGGGGGAGAGAGGAGCACTGTATGGAGGGGGATCTTGGGAAAAGCGCTTTGTACCCCGGCCTGGTCCCTGCAGAGAGCCGTCTAAGGAACTGCTTCTGTCTAGGAAAAGAGAACAAGCCCTCTTTAGTCACACCTCTCACTGGGGTTAATTTTTCTTTAAGTGCTGTAAACACTCTGAATCAGAGTTCAGGATGGGCATCGTGTCAGATCTGGTGCTCTGCCTGAGTTTCCCTGAATTCTGATTTATACTTTTCCACTCTGCCCAGCAGCCCAGCTCTTGGCACTGACCTCTCCTGGAGGCTGGAAACTCTTTGTGTGAGCTCATCCATGCCCACAGCTGGGTGCTTTCCCTCTCACTCAGGTTCTGCTCTCTCTCATGATGACAGGGTACTGAAACATGGGGATTTCTTTAGGAGTGGAGATGTCCTGGGAAATGCAGTCTTGACAGAGTCCCCTGAGCCCTGTGTGCATCTCCAGCCTGGGCACCCACCACCTGTTCAAGCTGCAATCCAGCACATCTGGCAGGGCTCAACAGACACAGTTTGCAGGTTTTACCAGAGAAAAAGGGCGGTGAGAAAACTAACAAAGAATCTTAGCCATGTTTTGCCACATTTCACCCAAACAGCACCTCTAATTGACTTAATTCCATTTCTCCTCATGGCTCATCCCACACAATTCCTGCTGATCCCACTGTCACCACATGTCAGATGCATGTAACTCTTGGACAACAGGCAGACAAGCCTTGGATGATTTGCAACCCCTCTGTGCCATACCCAGTGCTGGATTAAACCCTGCTCCCATTTTCAATCCCCCCCTCCATGGAGCCCCCAGGCACTGCCACTGCTGCTCCTCTCCAAACTCATCCCAAGGATGGGACTCTCCACATCCTGCACAGCAGACAGGACACTGGGATGGGCTGGGACACCTCTGCACACACGGGTGGATGGACAAGGAATGGAAGCACTGACACTGATGGGACAGCAGCCAGGTAAGTGACACAGGGGGGCAGACCTGTCCCAGCTGAGGTGACCCTCAGCAGGTGCCAGCTGGGCCCCTGCAGCCACCCTGAGCACGGGTGACACGTGAGAGCTCGCAGCGCTCCTGGGGTGGGCACACAGGGGTGAAATGCTCCTGCACAAGTGCCAGGAGCCACCAGCAGCCCAGAGCAGCCCTGACAGCTGGCACAGGGCAGGAGGGGACACAGGTACGGCGGGGAGTGACACCAAGGGAGATGCAGAATGCCAGCAAACGAAGGGACAGGCGGGGGAAGCACCAGATGGGCACGGCTGAGCTGATTAAGGAGAAACACAAAGGTAGAGAAGGTACCTGTTCAATCAATATCCTTCAGGAAAATGAAAGAGCTGCTCGCACTGAGGCCCTGGGACTCCATAGGAGTATCACCAAAAATCACTGTGACATTGCCAGAAAAACAAATTCCACCCTCAGCACAAATCCCTGTAACACTCACTGCACAGAGAGGGAACACAAGTTCTTGGTAATGTCTCTGGACAGCCCTGTGTCCAACTGCACAACCTTCACCCAACAGCCACAGAACCACAACACAAGGTGATGCTTTACAAAGGTTTCATCAGGTTTTGGTTTGGGCTTTTTTTTTTGAGTGGTTGATATTAAAAGTAATGCAAACACAGCAGGTCAGGTTATAGAAGTTAATCCTAGGAATCAGAAGTGAGGTTGGTGTAAATTAATGAGAGGATAAACCAAAAATAGAATTGTTTTTAAAGGACAAGTTTTAAGATAATAAAGAAATGGGGTAACAGACAGAGCTGTACTCAGATTATCAGGAATAAAAGGAAAATATCTTCAGTCCAAAAATGACATAAACCTCATGAATGTGTATCATCAAAGAGGAAATAATCTGAGAGGGAAGGACCTCAAATCTCAGTGGATAAATGCTCACTTTGAGAAGGATGCTGAGAACAAGCAGATCATTTCCTTGGATAAAAAGGCCCTGCCCATCATGGGGCTGTGCACCTCAGGATGGGGAGTGCAAGGATGAAGGGAGGTTTTTAACTCATTCTGTGTTTTGAAACAGTGCAAAGGCAAAAATGAGCCTGTGTTTCAGCATGGCCACCTCCAGGAGCAGTGACAGTCACTCACCTCATCCTGTCAGCCCACCCAGGGCTTCTACTTTAGGACAATGCACCTGGCACTGACTGCACTGGCACCTCCTGCCTGGCTGCAGAGCACACCCACACACCTGGCTCAGGTGTTGATGCATCTGTGACATCACCTGCACTCAGTAAACTTGCATGCTGAGAGATGGTACATTTAGACTGGATTTATGGAAGAAAAGTCTCCCCTGAGGGTGGGGAGGCCCCGGCACAGGGTGCCCAGAGCAGCTGTGGCTGCCCCTGGATCCCTGGCAGTGCCCAAGGCCAGGCTGGATGGGGCCTGGGGCCACCTGGGACAGTGGAAGGTGTCCCTGCCCATGGCAGGGAGTGGAATGAGATGAGCTTTAAGGTCTCTTCCAACCCAGATCATTCACTTCCAGCTGCAGCTATGCTGAGCACTGGGGGCAAGGCTCTAAGGATAAAAGAAACAGGACAGGAACCAAAATATCCACCACTGACCAACCAAGTCAGACAACTGAATGTCCTCACACTGGAGACTTAAGGGTGCAGAGGAAGCCAAGAATGACAGTGCACCTGAAACTCTGGGTCTGCTGCAGTAAATTCTAACAGAACTCAGCACTGCATTACTGAGAGTCACTTGAAATGTGGTGCCAGTATTTGAAAAAAAAAGCTGGAAAAATTATTTTTACAATAAAATGCCTGTGTCCAACCTCAGCAGCAGCACAAGGCTTGTGGCAGGCTCTGAAGGAATGGGCAGGAAATACACAGGGCACATTCTATAGGAGGTGTTCATCAGAGGAGGCCAACCCAACAGCCTCCCTGTGATGGGAAATCCTGATCTATCACATGAGGGAAGAGAAATCAACCTCATACACCTGGAATTCAGCAAGATGTTACACACAGAGAGCCACCAGCTGAGACAGAACATGAATTACCAGGAGCCTTGTTCTATGCACAGAAATCTGGTTTGAGAGGTAAAGCTGTTGGCAGCACACAGAAGGAACACGAGATTGGGAGCAACTGCCAGTGAATCTGCCTGGACCACCCTTGAGCCCAGGGTCATTTAATAACTGCAATAAACTCTAGAAAGTTTAGAGATTTACCAATGAAATCTGCTGATGTCTTCCCATGTCAGGTCAGACCAAGCAGCATTTAAAATCAGGCAGGAAGGATATATAAATATATATAACCAAGAACCAGGAAGGAGCTAAATCCAGCAGCTAAATCCAGATGTGCACTTGAGGCACTGTCCCATGTGACCTGCAGGTGACAACAGTGGATGAGAAGAATGGTGAAGTGACCAGGACAGGCTGATCATCACCTGTTACAGACACAGTGACTCAAAGTGACTGCAGAGACATTTCTTGTGACCATGGTGGTGCCACTGCCGTGGCACCAGGACCCCATGAGCTCCTCCCCAGAGTGCTGGGTGGCACTCTGGCCACCCCATGAAGTTTAAGTCAAACAAACACTGTCTGAGGAGAGTAAAAAGCAGTGATGAACTCCTCTGAGGGCTACAAGTGCTCCTCTTCAACTTCCAGAAGAAAGAGAACCAAGTTTAACTAAAAGACAATATTAAGACCAGGAGACACAGACACCAAGTTGCCCAAGAATAAATTAGGGCTGGAAATTTCAACATAGTTTCTAAAATATCACCATAAAACCCTGGAGCAGCCTCAGTGGAAAAACAAAATCCACAACTCCAGAGTTAATCCAAGAAACTCCATCTGCTGTGGTGCTGCAGCAGCAGGAGCCAGCGCTCTGTGGCCCAGAAGGTCCCTCCAGTCCTGTGTTTTCAGACAGCCCCAGGTCACATCATGTTCATGGTGCTGTGAACAGCACTCGGCTCCCAGTTCCCTGCAAAGGGTTGTTCCTGATGCACAACTCAGCCTGCTCCTCCTTATTGACTCAGTAAGGCAGAATGGCAGGACACTGCTGACCTGAGGGACACTGCAGACCCTCCCTCTGCCCCAAGCACACAGCCCAATTCCCCATGGCACCCACAGGGGTGCTCCTGCAAAGCCACTTTGCTCTGGGCACTCAGACCAGCTCCCAGTCCCAACCAGTGGCCCTTTACTGGAAGAACCAGCCCCATACAACATATTCCTGTACTGGAGAGGAAACAAGGCAGGACATGAAGAGCTGAAGGTGAGACCACAGCAGCCCTGACATCTGGTGTGACTGAAGGATGTACAACTCCACCCTCTTTCCTCCATGACCAGCTCAAACTTCCCAAAATCACCAGCACTGTTTCCCTGCCCTCAGGAGAAGCACTGCAATGTGTGGATTAGCACCTTCTTTCAGGTGCCTGAGAAAGGTGTTACATGAGCAGGAGCCCAAGAAGCTCAGACATCAGGATGAACTGCAGGACTAGGTGCTGTCACACCTCTCACTGGGGTTAATTTTTCTTTAAGTGCTGCAAACACTCTGAATCAAGAGTTCAGGATGGACAGATCACAACATTGTGTCAGATCTGGTGCTCTGCCTGAGTTTCCCTGAATTCTGATTTATACTTTTCCACTCTGCCCAGATGCCCAACTCCTGGCACAGCCATCACTGACCTCTCCTGGAGGCTGGAAACTCTTTGTGTGAGCTCATCCATGCCCAGAGCTGGGTGCTTTCCCTCCCTCACGCTCTCTCTCATGATGACAGGGTACCTCCACACTGAAAAATGGGGATTTCTTCTATTTGAGGGCTCCTCAAGGGAAAGCCTCCAGTCCCAGTCATGCTGCTCCTGTCCTTGCACATCCTACAGCTCCTCAGCTCCTGGCTCTGCTGGCTCCAGCCAGGAGGAAGCAGAGGATGGGAAGATCCTCTTGCTCTCTAGGCTCTGCCTAAGGTGCTTTGTCAGGTGCAATGAATGGAAGCACTGTGGCATTTGGCTACTGCTCCTACGCCTCATGCTTAGTAACTTCTCCTTAAACAGTTCTTCCTAAGTGCCCATCCTTTTACATTCACACAACTTTTGCTTTTCTTGCCAGAACCAGAATTATGCAAAGGATTAACTTTGGAAAGACCTCAAACAACACAACAGCTATTTGCTGACTAGAAGGGGAAGCAAGACAGGAGTGGAGATCAGCACTTGTCAACCACCTAAGAGGGTGCAGACAGCTTTGATCCTCCCCATGATTGACATTCCTGAAGCAGGAGCTCCCCCAGAACCCCCAGACAGCCTGGGGGGCAGCCATCACCCCAGGCCTGCTGCCACTGCCCAGCACAGCGGGGGAACTGCTGGGCTTGTTTTCCACTGCTTCTGCTTCAGAGCAGTTTTGCAGCCTGACAATCTGCACCGTGGCATGAAGTGTCTTGTTGGGGTGAGCTGCTTCAATGCCATGCCAAGGAAAACAGAACCACCTCTGCCTCGGATTGCTGCATGAGCATCACCCCTGAAGAGGCCACGTTGTTACCAGGGCTGGATGCTAACAACAGGAGATCCAGGGCCAGCGTGGAAACCACTCTGCTTTGGTTCATTTCTAATTACAGTTTACCTGCTGCATCTCATCACTCTCCCTTCTCCTGCAGTCTTTCACCTGAATTCCTAGCTGGATGAAGTCACCACAATCAGATCACAGGAAGTGGGAAGGACTGGGGGACGAGGGGAGGAGGGAAGACAAGGAGACAGCACGGATGAGCGGAAACCTACAGCGGAGATGGAAACCAAACTGACAGGCAGAAAATGCAGCTGGAACCCTACACAACAAGAGCCCTGTGGGCATGTGCACGACACTGGGTGTGATGTAACGAACCCTGTGAGAGGGCTCTGGAACAGGAGATAGAGAGAAAACCTGAGTTAAGACACGGAGCACCTGGGTCCCTACAGCACCGCCCCCGCCCCAGCTCCTACCTGGTAGATACCTGTCGTGGTCGTACTCGTGTGAGCGCTGCATGTGGCTGTTCTGAGTGAAAGGCTGGTTCCCAAAGAGGTTGTCACTGCGCAGATTGTGGCACAGCTTCTCCAGGAAGCGGAGGACGTAGGTGATACTGTTTACTGCTGGCAGGTTCAGAGTGTGCTGTTCCCGATCAAACACAGCTGGAGACAGAAACAAACAGAGCCCAACACGTGAACCCCCCGCCAAGGCGGGAGGCTACGCCCAGGGCCGCACAGCCAGCTCCTGGATCTCAGCATCGCTGGGCTGTCGAGAGCCAACAAAGCCACTGCCTTCCTCTGCCGGGGCAGGCCAGGACCAGCCTGCTGCACCCAGCACGGGGCCGGGGCGGCAGCGCCGGGAGCCGCGTCCGAGGGAACGGAAAGGATTCCAGGAGGGGCCTGCGCTCGCAGATCCGGCCAGGCACGGGCTTAAAGGAGAAATAAAACCCGGGGTATTGCTGGTCTTTCCGTGAGGAGCTGTGGAATCCCCCCTGCTGTGGCTCTTGCCAGGGCTGGGGCAGTGCGGGGGCCGCTCGGTGGGGCAGGATTGCTGCCCAGGCTGGTGCCAGGACTGAGCACTGCCTGCTCCAGCAGCTGTGCCCGCGGGCCATGGGAACTGCTCCGCTCTGAGTCAGCTGCCAGCTGTTGCTTCACTGACACAGACGTGTGGCAAGAAAGAGAAGACAGAACTCTTCTGTCTGCCCCTGGCCTGTGGCTGCAGCGAGCTTCAGGACAGACATCTTCCAATGAGAGAATTCTTGCAACAACCTCTCTGGAGGCAAAGTGCTGCGGGCCCCTTCTCACCTGAGATGACCTCTCCCCCGTGGCCTTGTTTTAAGAAGGAGAAGACTGTTTTCTGATGATAAGCGCAATCAATGCAGGCCTGTACTGCTTGCTGCAGGACAACAGAAGCTCGAGCTGGTCCAAAATGGTCTGGCAGCTGCTGAACTTTCTTCTTGTCTAGGTGGGGCCCAGTGCTGCCGTTCTTGTTCAAGTAAATGCAAACTGCCAAGATGAGAAATGTGTTTGCTGTTAACCCACTCAAGAAAGCAAGAAACAGATGCCTAAAATCCAACCTGAGAGATGCTGAGATTTTAAGACTGTCCAATCACTCACAAAGTGGAATCCACCATGGCTGCCTGACTGCTTCCTCACAGTGGAGCCGCTTCTAGAGGGGAATCCCCTCCAAAATCCTCCTGCCTCATGCTCACCTTCCAAACTGTTGCTGTTCCTCCCATGCTCTCCCCTGCAGTCAGGCTGTAAAGTGGTTTCCATGCCAGCCAGGTAAGGTGGCTGTGATGTTCAGAGGGGAAGAAGGAATGCAGCCCCACTTTCTAGGGGTTCCCACAGCATTTCCTTTTTAGGGAAACTGGCTTCTTTAGGTTCCTCTGAAAATTGGCCAATTACATTCTGGGGAAACAGAGGGCTCAGCCTACATCCAGTGCTTGACTCAACATGTCAAAAGCAGCTTTGCATTAGACCTTCCTGGCCAGATTCATCCTCAGCTGTAGCAGTGCATACACTCTTCACTGCTGCTCCTCCTCCTCCCCTATTCCCTCCTGTCCCTGTGTGCCTTGATATCCTGGCTGGAGCTGGGCAGATCACAGTCCTTCAGCACCTCCTCTGCCCCTTGTGCAGTTCCAGAAGCTGTGCCTTGCATGGTGTGGGACTCACAAGGGATGCTGCACACCCGACTGCCCCGGGGCACAATGGACCACAAATGTATCTGGAGAGCTGTGGAGTCACCAGCATGCAGGGGAAAGGGGTCCTTGCACTCAACAGGTGGGCTTGCAATCTTCCTACTTCATTATTTCCAACAGAAAGATAAATGAACAGCTGCTCTGGACTCATGCCTCTCTCAGGCCAGCCTTTCTGGAGCGGTAAGGATTGCTGGTTTACAAGCTTAGGAAGAAATGAGACTCTCTCAGGGTGTTGCTGCCTGCCTGCTGCAGCTCCTAACTGTGCAATCCTGTCAAGAATGTGGTCCAAGACCCTCCTTACCTGTGGGAGCCTGCATGGCAGAGCTGGGGATTGTAGCAGCGTCCTGGGGCACAGTGCTTGTGTCTGGCTCTGGGGTACTGGTTGTTGGAGAGGTGGGTGCTGGGTTCAGCAATGTCCTAGGTTTCCTCTGCAGAAAAAGAGGAGATATTTCTCCTTTTACCCCTGCTCTCCTTTACCACCCATGATCACTACACTCTCTGCTCTGCATCCAACAGACAAGGCACTGTGGAACATGACACATTTCTGATGGTGATGATGGGGTGTCTCAAGAACCTAGTAATCAATACGTGTGTGTTTTACAAACCACAACCCTGAAAATAACAAGCCTGGGACCTGCCACCTCTGCTTGACTCAGACTAGCCACACACAAAGGACAGGAGAGCTTACTCTACCCTTTGGCCATCCTGTCATGCTCCCAGCATCTGCCATGCTACTCCACAGCCAATGCACTTCCAAAGACACGGATTCTTGATGGAGATGATCTTTAGGACACAGACATTCTCTACAGCTCTGGGGCTGGGCTCTGAGCACACTCCCAGCCCACACACCCCTCTGGTCTCCTACTTGCTGCAGTCACACAGCCAGAGGCTGAGACAAACGTGCACAAACACACGCATGCACCAACCCATGGCAGGACCTGCAGCACCTGCTGTTCACCCGCCTGCATCAGCATCAGCTTTTACCTTACTGCCAGGCTTGGGGCCTCTCTTTCTGGGGAATTTCAAAGGCTCCACTGACTTGGAGGGTGTAGGCATGGGGTGGTGGATTAGCGCTTTGGTCGTTCGACCACGCTTCTTCCCTGTTTTGCGACGCCTTTGCCCTTGTTGATGCCCCAAAACAGTCTTTGTGCTACTGTGCATGCTAGGTTTCTCCGAGTTTACTTCGGAGGCAGGTAAAGGGCTCTTTGGAATCACAACTGAAATAAAAAGAGAAAAAGCAAATGTAATTAAATCAGGTGAGAAGCAAAACAAGAGCAGCCTCCATCTTTATACAGTGTCACATGGAAAAACCTGGAGTACTCCCAGACCCCTGGGCAGGGGACTGCTCTCCATGCCAGAGTAAAAACCAAACACACGGATCCCCAGCTCAGAACTCGAGCTGGGGGACACTGGGGCTTAACCTGGATGGGCTGAACTCCAGGAGGATCGTGCTTGCAGCCATACCTTCCTTCCTGAAAATAACTGGCACCTACAGCTCTTCCTTCTGCAAGCAGTGACCTGCCAATGGCCACGGAAAAGGCTCTGAGAGCATTCCTAGGGAGGGATCAGCCAAGACCTGTCTGACAGTCAGAGCCAGCACTGCAAACACTGGAAATCCCCTCTCTCAAGGCTGATGTCAAATCTGTCCCTAAATTTCCAGCAAACTGCGGTGGAAGGGACCAGCTCCATCCTTGCTGCCTACAAGTATCACTGCACCTGGTCCTGAGCAACAGCTCATCTCAGCAAGACCAGCTGCCCTGCTCCTCCACAAATACCAGAGGCAGGTGTGGTCATTCTTGTCTTCTCACTCTTTCCACCACAAAACCAGGGTTCTGCTATACTTGCCCACACATGCCCTAAATCTGGTCAGTCATCTTTCCCAAGCCTGCTAAAGGTCAGAGATATGCTGCCCAGCCTAGCAGACCAGTATTTCCTTCTGTTTTAAATTTCTGCTAAAAAGAAACAAACCAAAATCCTGCTGCATTTTGAAAACTGTAGAGTGATCCTTAGGATCCTTTCTCACATCTGGAAACCTCAACACAGGGGCAAGGAGTTAGGAAAAAAACACAGGCAAACACTTTTGAAATCAGAGGCTTTGTAGTTAGGGAAAAAAGTCTTAGCCAGGGAAACAGAGACAATAAAAGATTGATACCAGGATGGCACAACTGTGGGCATATACAGAGATTTTTAAGGTTTCTGTAATGAGGTTTTAGGAGCAGTTACTGTGAGCAAGGATTTATTCCCCTGGCACAATGAAGCTGTGGCTTCCCCTGGATCCCTGGCAGTGTCCAAGGCCAGGCTGGAGGGGGCTTGGAGCAGCCTGGGATAGTGGAAGGTGTCCCTGCAAGGGCAGAGGGTTGGAACGAGATGAGCTTTAAGGTCCCTTCCAACCCAAATCACAGAGTGTATCTGGGATCCAGCCCCATTCTGGCTGTCATGTGGGCATGTTTAGTTTTAATTTTATATCCTTGCTTTTGTGCATTCTGTATCAGAAGCTGTGTAGAAGCACACAGACATCAGGATGTATCTGACTTCCTGAATAAAGAGATTTTTGTGTTAGGCAGACACTGGGAATGTGGCAGAAACAGGGTTTTAATACTTTCTGTCTGAGCTGTTAGTGTTAAAAACCAAGACTCTTTTGCTGTTATGAAAATGAATGTGATAGCTCAGGTGCTTCTTAGAGATGATGGCACTCCAGAAGTGTCACCTGCTCCAGGTGACACCTGGCACTGAGCTGCAGGCAGGAATGGCACAGGTAAGGCAGGTGCTGATCATGGAATTGTGGGGCCTCTGGCTTCAGGTGTGCAATGACTGATCTCAGCAGAGAATGTTTGTATCAAACCATTTATTAGAATCCCACAAATTGACAGAACAAGGACAGACACAGGTTGAATGGAACAGGTTGCCCAGAGCAGCTGTGGCTGCCCCTGGATCCCTGGCAGTGCCCAAGGCCAGGCTGGACAGGGCTTGGAGCAGCCTGGGACAGTGGGAGGTGTCCCTGCCATGGCAGGGGTGGCACTGGGTGGGATTTATGGTCCCTTCCAGCCTACACCAATCCATGATTCCATGATTCTAAAACTCTCCATACTTCAAAGCAACTGTTAAATACCAAAGGGGTGTGGAAGCCAGGGCAGGGAGCATTTCACTTGAGATCTGCTCACTGTCTAAACCAAGCTGTGCCACAATGAGGTTTCTCTAATGTGGAGGAAAAACTGAGAATTCTACACGAGCTGTGAGGCAAACCTGTGTTCTCAGTTTTACTAGAAACAAACCCAGAGAAACGGTGCATTTGGGGAGTTGGCATGCAGTGGCAGAGCAGCTGGACTGCACCCTTTGCCCTCAGGCTGGGACCACATCACTGGGAACTCACTGCCAGGTACAAGGAGACTGCTGTCAGATTAAGTCCTGGTGCAAGCTTTCACTGTGTAATCTTATGTTAACAAGAGATTTCATCTTTTGGTGAAATAAATGCAATAAAAATCTGTTGCCCACTTCAGCTGTAAAGACAGTACATGTAGTAGTAATGTACCAGACTTGAAGAATTGGTTTTGGGATTTGGGCAATAAAATCCCATAAGTGGGTGCATGCAGATCCCATGATGGGATACCTCATGTCATTCAGCCACCCAGAGGAGTTCCCCCTGTGCCTGTGCCCCTGGCAGCACATCCCTGGCCCCTGCTACAGCCACAGCTCCTGCAGGTATGGAGGAGCTGCCACAGCAAGGGAGGCTGTTCACTGAAACAGGCTAAATTACATCAAAATGTGCAGCCAGCTCAGGCCAGAGAGACACAGGCTGTGACCTAGATTGGTGCTGTGTGCCCAGCAGTGCTGCTGAGCACAGCCCTGAGCACAGCCCTGGACAGACACTGATGTTTTCCCTGGGGCTGATTCCATCAGACTGATGCAATGCACAGACATTTTTCTGACCCGCAGTGATTTAATGAAATGAGCTCTTATCCTCCCACAATCCAGCAGACTTGCCTGGCTTTTTGTTGGATTTGAACCAGAATCTGAGCAAACACCAGCCTGTGCTAATACATTTCCCTTGCCTTACCAGATGCACAGAGCTGTGTGAGGAGCAGACACCAAGAGCTCCAGAGCAGAGTGCTCCCACCAGCTGGACCTGAACATCAATGGTGCAGCCCCCAAAACACAGGGTTACAGCTGGCCACACTCTGCCTCATCCCCAAGGCACCACTTCCAGTGACTGGATGCTTCCTAAAGGAGCCTGTAGTTTCTTTTCAGGTGCCTGTTATTTTCCTGTGGGATTTCAGCCCCTGCTGTCATGCAGATGTGGTCCAGAAACATGGGATTGCTCTGTAAGGATCAGTGTCCAGCACTCAGCCCTGCCTGCACCCACCCCAGCACCCACAGAGCTCCAGAGGTGGAAACAGCTGTGCCCAGCAAGCAGGATTACCTCACAGCTCCAAGCACTGCCCAAGTCTCCTTTAACTGCCAAAAGCTTCAATTTACTGCATCTTATTCTTACTATTACTACATCTTAATTATTAAGGATCTAAAGCTATCAAAGAGTGTCCAAAGAGGGGCCAGGAAGGGTCAGGAGGGGCTGCAGGAGGAGCAGCTGAGGGCTCTTGGTGTGTGCAGCTGGAGCAGGGCACGCTGAGGGCAGAGCTCAGGGATCTGCAGCTCCTCCCGAGGGGCAGCTCCCATCTCTGCTCTGGGACAGGGACAGCAGCCAGGGCACGGCTGGAGCTGGGCCAGGGCAGCTCAGGCTGGAGGTGAGGGCAAGGTTCTTCCCCCAGAGGCTGCTGGCACTGCCCAGGCTCCCCAGGGAATGGGCACAGCCCCGAGGCTGCCAGAGCTGCAGGGATGCCCAGGGGGGGGTTGCTGAGGGGTCTGGGCAGGGACAGAAGTTGGACTGGATCACCCTGTGGGTCCCTTCCAGCTCAGCACATTCCATGATTCTGTGAGAGTGAGGGATGGGGGAGATGAAGGATGAGGCAGAAATTTGGCCGGCGCTGCAGGGATGCCCAGGGTGGGGTTGCTGAGGGGTCTGGGCAGGGACAGAAGTTGGACTGGATCACCCTGTGGGTCCCTTCCAGCCCAGGACCATTCTGTGATTCTATGATTCAGCTGGTGACAGAGTCAGCCCAGCAATGAGCAGCTGCCAGAGACATCCTCATTTTCTTCTTCCTTGTACAAGCCACTAAGAGGAGCCACGTTTTCAGAAAATCAAGTAGGGCCTCTCTTACTTAAAAAAATCAACTCTTCCTGAGTAAAGCAGCATCTGTGTGCCACAACTTTGTTGCTCACCTGAGCTCTGAGCAATCTAACCATCCAAAGCTGGCCTTGCTTTTGAGGAGTTGAGCCATGCAATCCTGAGATCCCTTCTGACCCGAATCTGAACTCATGGTTATTCCAGCTCATTAAGGGGACAGAAAACTAATCACTGGAACTGTCTGGCTGAACTGTCTTGTTTTGGGTCACACAGGCATCCAGGACAATGGCAGACACGGAGGAGGAGGAGGCTGGCTCCTTGCTGGGCTGGCTGGCATTGGATCCATTTGGCACAGTGAGAAGCATCACCCTGAAAAGGCAGCTCAAACACAGCTGAACTCCAAGCCAAAGAGAAGTTGGGCACCACTGATGATGTTATTCACCACTGAAGGATTAGTTAAACAAGAGTTTTGAGCTTTCTTCAGAAACAAAGAGACTTAACAGAGAATTCCTGATTTCAGGCTCTACTTCTGAATACTCCATCAGCTGATACAAGGCACCTGCAGCTGCCCACCACACTGTGACTCAAACTGTTGTTACAGGAGACTGCACAGTTGCCATCCACACTCTGAGGGTTAGTCAGTGCTTGGAAGCAGCATTTGTCACCCATCAGCTTATCTGAGACTTGTCACAGCTTGAAGAAGACAAAATTATGTCCTTGGGACAAGAATTACAAAGTCAAAACCTGCAGAAAAATACGGAACAGAAAAGTTTGAAGTTGCAGAAACGTTTCCTGCCTTTCTCTCCTATTTACAAGGTTCATTTACCAAGGGCTGCAGGAGCACAAATCCCAAATTCCCATTTGCTGTGCCAAGTGCTCTGTACTCTGAGATACAGCTGAGTTCATGTGCTTCTGCCTGGAGATCTCCACAATGGCCCCTGCAGTGTCCTGAAGTGCAGGGGCAGATTTCTGAGCACGCCACTCATGCCCACTCCAAAGCCCCTCTGACAGATGTCCTGCAGGCCACCCCTCCAGTGT